GAGTGTGAGTTCCTATGAAAGAATAGTCGGGGGGGGGGTAGACGATGAAAGAATAGTCGGGGGGGGGGTATGGGGGCGGGCTGTTGTGCGGTGGTGACGTGAGGGGACGGGGAGTAGGCAAATATGACAAGAAACTTTAATGGGGGTCTAAATTGGGTCTGTCATTAGTAGATAATTGGCTAATTCTGGACTGTTTTCTGATGTGGTTAATATTTTTTTTACAATTACCTCCCCTGTTAGGGCGTGGTAGCTCTGTGTTGATTGGTTGCCGGGGCAACGAGGTCAATGGCGGAGGTCCTTTTCATGTTTCTGTGTAGTTAGTTAAAGTATGTGTAAGTACATGACACACTCGTGTTTTCTCTCAGCTACGTTTTCACCCTATCTCGGAACATCTGCTGTAAACAGAGAATCATCTTTGAATACAAAGAACTCACTTTCAGAAAACGTCTCCGTCATTACATATATATATATATATATATATATATATATATATATATATATATATATATATATATATATATATATATATATATATATATATATACATACTTATATATATATATATACATACTTATATATATATATATATATATATATATATATATATATATATATATATATATATATATATATATATATATATATGTGTGTCTGTCTGGGTGTACGTGTGTGTGTGAGAGCGCGTGTGTGCGTATTCATGTGTGCGTGTACTAGCTTAATAGTGTCCGTGTGTGCGTGTATGTGAGTGTGTGCGCGGATGCTTAAGTGTGTGAGTGTGCGTGTGTGATATTTTCATTTAAATGTATACACCTACATGTGTGTATGTCTCTGTATATATGTAAGTATGTATGTATACATGTATGTAGACACAGCGATATCTCGCTGTAATCATCTTGTATTTCTATTATATTAACCATGTGGGCAGAAAACACCCTGTCTATGCCAAGGGTTTTATGCGGCAAAGAAATCCCCCTTTTCTTTTCTTACGCTCTGGTTTGTATCGGACCCCACCGCTACCAATCCAGACAACCCGAGCCTTTGTTTAGGTTTACACCGAGTGAGCTCCCTTCCTATCGCAGGGGAGATAAAGAGGAAAACATGGATGGAGCAAGGGAGATAAGCCCCCTGAATTGGAGCGCTAGATCTGACAACAACGATACCCTTGTAAGACAACGCACCTAGAAATCTGGGTTTTGAACTTAATTGTTCAATTTATTTGGGTGTAAACAGTATTGGGGAAACCCGAACGGTTTTTTTTTTTAGTTATGTCGAGACATATTGTTTACTTTTAATATATTATTTATCATGGAACAAATTGGATCTAGTTATATATTATATATATATATATATATATATATATATATCTATATATATATATATATATATATATATATATATATATATATATACATATATACGGATACTGCGTGATCCTGAATATGGCTTTGACTAGGGTAGTGTTTTTATTGCAAACAACTTATCATCAACTATTTGCTTTTCTTAGACCATTGATCTATTTCCGTCCACCATTTACAGGACTCCCCCCCCCCCCTCCTCTCCGCCCTGCTGGTAAAATATCTGCGAATGAAGGAATATACATAACAAAACAAGTTAATTAAAAAAGTCTAGTAACATTTATGCGCAATGTTCTTATGTTATCTAAAAATAGCTCTGACGTATAATGCTGGGGTGCGTTCAAGCTAGAAGAACGATCGGTTTGTAGGTGTTTATGTAATTTTAAAATTTTGTGACCCGAACGAGAGGATATTTTTGAAAACTTTCTTCGGCAATATTGTTCTAAATTATGGCAGAAATCGATTGGTACATGTTTCAAGTCGCTAAGTGGTCTGGTTGCCGAGATATGGGCCAAAAAACTGCATTTTTTTCGAGGTTTTTTGGCTTTCCCTGGAAATCCATGAAAGAAACCCGAAATTTGTATGGCCTATGTTCATTCTCGTAACGTGCTTAACATAATTGCTTTTGGAACTGGTCATCAATATTGCTTCGTTGAGGAGGAGATACGACTTAAAGCCCGGACACACATTCATACATCCATACATTCATTCATTCATCCATCCATTCCCAGAAATGACGAGTTAATAAACGCAATTCTCCAGAATGGAAATTGCGCTAAAAAAATAACAGTACACAACACTTGTAAAAGTACGGATGTGCTGGTAAACAGATTATATCTGAACATTACACTAAATGTGTCTTTACCTGCCTTTAAAATCCCAGGCGTATGTTTTTGTCATCATTTCAAGACCAATAGGTCTTTAATAAGTATTAAACCACAAAATCAGGGGCGATAACCTTTTAGTGAATGAGAGTTGTCGTGACTATTGTTAACTGCTCGGTTTGGCACAGTGGTCAAATAAACAAAATATTTTCTACATTATCAACATGTGTTAAGTTGGCCCCTAGTTATCATTCAAAAATTTAAGAACATCCCTCGGGGGTTGGAAAGAATCATCTTCATGCTGTTCTCGAGTAACAGTAAAGACACCTTTTCGGACCTGACGGTCAATAGGACAGGTGAAGTAGAGTTTACATATTTCCGTCACCTTGGCATATTAACGGAGAGTATTACGTTATGGCAGCCACCTCTTCTTTCCCTAACGCGAGTCAGAGCAGGGTGGGCTCATTTGACTAAGGGACTCATACTACGGACTCTAGCCAGAGACAGAGGCGTAGCGACCCTTCCCGGCGCCCGGGGACAAACTTTCGATTTTCACCCCCCCCCCTCAAACTTTCGATTTGCACCCCCCTCAAGCTTTATTTTTATTTTTCCAACCCATTTTGGCGCCCCCTTAGGTCAGCGCCCGGGGTCATATACCCCCCCTCCCCCGCCGTCCCGTCGTCCGAACCCCAATTTTAAGCAGTCATGTACTCCTAACCTCGGCCACACCGTCAAATGATGTTCTAGACTTTATAATAAGTAACAAAAGAAGCTAAAAAAAAACATATAAAAATTATTTTTCAAATGATTAGTTCGTTATCGAGTTATTTCTGTTGGATCTTTTGAGAAATTTTCTAGTTTTACTCTTTCATTCAGTCAGAGGCGTAGCGAGGGGGGGGGGGGGGCGGGGGGCGGACCGCACCGGGTGACACCATTTAGGGGGGTGACACCAAGGCAAAAAATAGCAAAATATAGAGAGAAAAACTTGACCTCGATACGCCACTGCATTCAGTACCGTTGCCTTGTATTATTAAATGTGCATAACCTTTGTACTGACGTTTCAAATGTTTACAATGACCCCCCCCCCCATTCTTCTTATTCCCACAGGTGTTCTGGTTGGTCCCATTGCAGGCGCCCTATTGGCAGGACTCCTCTACGACTACATTTTTGCTGCTGGTGCCACATTCGCTGGTGCTAAAAAATGCCTGCTGAGAACAAAGAAGCCGAGGAAACAAGCCGAACCCGAGAAGGCCCCGCTAGAGGAAGCTAAAAATGACGTCATCGAGATCGAGGAAACCAAGCTGGACGGCGAGAAAGACGCTAGCACGGAGACGGACGTCGAGAAGGGCAAATTGGCAGCAGAGGAGGGCAATTAATAGAGCCAAGATAAACTGTTGCGTTTTGTTTACATAGTATTTTATTTGTTAACAAATATTCTATTTTTACACATTTAAAAAAAAAGTCAGTTAAACATATAGTAGCAAGTGCCTTTTCACTAAAGTTATTGTTTTCTTTAATATTCAATATACCGAAACGAAAATCGTTATTTCTTTGCTAACAAAACAAAATGTTTATTTTTGTTAACAATAGGCAACATATAAGAAATATGCATTTTGTTATTTTTATGCTATATATGTTATTGGTATTTTCATTGTGTAAACTTTATCGAAACAAAAAAATTTTAAGCAGTTAGTGAATTCTGTTTATGAACATTAAAGAAACCATTTTAGTTTTAAAAATCAAGTAATTTTAAGTATAAGTAAAACCATATTTTAAAAAAAGTAAAATCAGGTGTGTAATCGAGTTCTATTTGTATTCACTTTATTTATTGAACAAATTCATCAGATTGTGTGTAATAAGTTGGGACCAGTTTGGTGTGTATCTAGGTAGAATATTTAACGTTCATCAAATGATAATGTATATATATAGTATGTAAAAACCTTTGTAGAGAACTAGCATTATAAATTTTATTTCGCGACGTGTTTTTTTTATTATTATTTTACATTTTAGTTCTAAACATGTCCAAAGTATATTCTCAAAAATGAATATAAAATGTGTTGTTTTTTATTACTGTCAATAAAACTTTACCAGAGATTATTGTTTTCAGTGTTGGTTTTAAGCATCTAGCATGCTCACTCAAGCCTTACTTTTTAGTGGACTAAATGGGATTCTAGTATTTGTAATTGTGAAGTAGGCCATGTATACCTACTTCAAAAATACACAGGAAAAAAATACTAACTTTGTTGTGTAAGAAATCCAGAATGATAATCATGCATCAAACTGTACTCCACATTAATTTTTCTTCTATCATTGTGTAAAACTATCTATAAATAAAAATAATTTTAAAAATAATTTGGAGCTTTCCTTGTTTATTTTTTTTTGCCAGTAAGACATTGAATTATTTGAATTTCAAAAGGCTGAAACTGTGACATCATGATAAGGGGGGGGGGGGTATTTTTAAAAATGAGTGATGTTTGCATACGGATAACTCCTTGTTGAAAAAGTTCTATATTTGTGTGAGTGCATAGCATAACATTTCAAAACAATAACATGAAGTGGTAAAATATTACTGATATCAAGGGGTCTAACGTAAACGACGTCATATTCCTAGGGGGGGGGGTCAGAGTTTTTGGCCATCATCGGGGGGGGGGGGGTCAACGTTATGAGTGAGCCAGGCAGCAGATACCCCTGAGCTGTGCCACTGAATAACTCAAACTGTTCTTCTATTTTCTAAATTTAATTTTTGGTGACTTTTTATATATTTCTTTGTTCGTTTTTTTTTTTAAGGAAGAAATCAAAGCTAGTCCGCGTTTATTATGCTGGGTTTTCCTGCTAGTAGTTTGCCTGTCGTAAAATCTTTTTCAGGATAAGTGTGACCATTTAGCCTGCATGTCGTAAATTTTTACGACATGTCCTGTCACTGGGTAACAATGGACGCCGAACCTTACCGACGCTCTAGTTCTATCCCTCAATCCTACGTAGTACGTAGATTAGTTACTAATATAATTGTATGCATGTTCATGTTTTACAAAACTTTTTAGTTTTATATCTTTATTCTTTAAACTAGGCTATCATTTTCTAAATCTAGACTAGATTTCTAGTTATGGAGTCTAAAAAAGCATGCTAGTTAGATCTAGATTCTAGAATCTTGATTTTTGATCTTTTGTTGTTTGCAGCTAGACCTGAGCAAAGGCAGGCTGCGGTTAGCAAGGTTTAGTTTAGTCAGTTAAAAAAGTTAGTCTGCTAGTGAGTTTATTTACTAGTACTAGTATTAGAGTACTTATTACTTACTAATACTTTAATTACTTAGTAGTAGTTTAGTTTAGTAGCTAGCCTAGCCCCTATGCCAGCCTATGGCAGGTCAGCTAGGGTGAGAGAAATTTTGATGGGTACCTGACTACCTGACTCATGTTAGGGAAACAACAAGTAGTTGGGCATAGTGCTGACCAACACTATACCTTTATATGCCAAGGTCATTGAAACAACTCTACTTCATCTGCCCCAAATGAACGGGAAAAGATGATGAAAAATAATCAATAGTCAGTAAAGTGGCAATTCAGACCCTAGTAGATCTATATACTATATAGCCATCACTCACTATTTAGACCCAGCTTATAGTTTTGTTCAAAATCTATCTATAAATGGCATGGTCTAACCTGAGTCTAGTCTATATTCAAATATATATTATATGGATTATAGGTATGAACCACCTGCAATTTCTTTCTTAAAGATGATTATTTAATTTCCTTTATACAGTGCAGATTTTAAAAACATCACCTGAGTTTAAAATGTCATTGGCTTTATTTTGCTTTTTGCCTCTAATCATATTAACACACAGGCACCCCCCCCCACCCCCCCCATACTCATGTAGGCTATTAGTATTATGGGCCTATGGTGTAAGGACCTAAATGTTAAGTGTTAACCCTGAAAATATGTAGTTGTGTAGACTCCTAATGAAAAAATGTAAAAATAAATGTGTGGTTTCAATATAAAATACACTATCAATGGCAAGTGCCATGTAGTGGGTGGTTTTTTTTTAAATATTGGGTCAATTTTAAAATCTTAAAACTATTTTAATAATTGCAATCATTTGCCCATTTTATATACTTAACGGAATTATTTCAGGATTTTTAACTTAAAGTTATCAAACCAATAAACTAAAATGCCTCCAAGTAGAGCAACAAAAGACAGAGAGACTAAAGAGGCCAGAGTGTTAGCTAATAGGTATGAGATTGTGAAAAAACTGGGCAGTGGTAACTTTGGAACAGCATTCTTGTGCAAAGATAAAAAGTGCAATAATGAATTGTAAGTAAATTTTTTTGTAGCTTATTAATATTTAAATTAACCCAGGAGTGATCTCCCCTAAACAAAAGTTGATACGGATCTACGATTTTGATATAACTCTTAAATCTGAAATTTCATCAACCTAGCGGTAACGGTATTCAAGTTATTGTGTTTATATACACACACACATACACACACACAGACATATGGACAAGATTGCAAAACTATGTTTTTCCGACTCAGGGAGCTGTAAAACATCAAGATTTGCAAAAATCTAGATTTTTTTTTTGTGCACTATTACAAGACTTTCTCTATACTTTGTATATACAAGAAAGTAAAACACCAACCTGAAAAGAAACTATCCGCTCTTGATCAGCTTGTAGTTATTTTAATTTTAACAATTACTCTATTTACAAAAAGAAAAGAAAACATTAGGCTATAATTAAATTGATTAATTTAATTAAAGCAAAATCATTTTTTAGCAAAGTATTGAAAGAAATATCTGTTGGTGAACTGGAACCTGATGAGACTGTAGATGCCATGCATGAAGCTAGAATTCTATCTAAGCTCCAACACCCAGGCATCGTCAGGTTTCATGACAGTTTTATTGATGGAGAGTTTTTCTGTATCATTACAGAGTATTGTCAAGTAAGTTCATTTATTTTGATTGTTGTTTACACTAGCCATATAACAAGGTCAGGGCTAGTATTTAGTGACAATATTTACTTAGCTGAAATACAGGGTTATGGGATACTAAGGGATAATTAATTGTGCACATTGATTTGTTTCTTAAGTTTTAGCTTCATTTAGTTTTAAAAATTTGATTGTAACATGTTGTTGAACAGTATTTGCCAACTGTTCAGTGTAAATTAGCAAGTATTTTTTTCTTATGGACGGTGTGGTTGAATGATCCTGCACTCCAGCCTATCAGACGCCCCTGAGTCCACCCAGCTCTGATGAGTACCTAACACTTGTTAGGAAAAAGACAGATGGTCATAGTGCTGACCACTCTATCCCCACGCATGCAGAGGTCATTGAAACAGATACCCTCTACTTCATCTGGCCCATGTCTCTTGGGCACAAACGGGGGAAAAAGACGTTGAGAAGATACTTTTTCTTATATCATATCATCAGTTGCAGCACATTTTTACACAAAAGCCCAACAAAAGATTTGTTTTAAAAATAACATTCCTGTTATTCAAATCTTTGAGCAATCGGTTTGTGTAATTTTATTCCTTCAAACTTTCTCATATTATTACAGGGTGGGGACTTGGATCACAAGATAACAGAACAGAAAAAATTAAACAAAAACTTTGATGAGAACACGGTCATTAGCTGGACCATCCAGCTGGTTTTGGCTGTTCAGTACATGCACAGTAGAAGAGTTCTGCACAGAGATCTCAAGACCAGGTAAATACAGTGATTTGATTGGTCTTTGGTTTTGTTTTTTTAATAAGTTAACAAAACAAATAAATTTCACTATAATTAATGCATTATTTAAATAAAGATATAATTTATATTAAATGTAAAAAAGAAAATTTTTTAATTTACTTATTATACTTTGAAATTTTTGAATTAATTAAAATTATTATTATTATATGATTATATGGAAATTTAAAAAACATGATTATAATTTTAGCAACTAAATTAAATGATTTGGTCTACTCATGATATTGTTTGCAAATTTTTTTAAAATTTTTGTTTATTCTCAACTAGAAATATATTCCTCCACAACAACCTGCTCAAGATTGGGGACTTTGGGATTTAAATGATTAGGTCTACTCATGATATTGTTTGTATAATTTTTTTTTTAAATTGTGTTTATTCTCAACTAGAAACATATTCCTCCACAACAACCTGCTCAAGATTGGGGACTTTGGGATCTCTCGTATTCTAATGAACTCCTCCGACATGGCCTCCACATTCACTGGTACACCTTATTACATGAGCCCAGAGGTTCTCAAACATGAGGGCTACAACTCAAAGTCCGATGTCTGGTCAGTGGCTTATTTTTATTGGATTCTTTTTGTCAACAACTATATTAAAAAGTCTTAGTTCATAGTTGGATACTCATAATCAAAGTGTACATTTGCTGTGTTAATGTCGTAATTTATTTATTCTGTCATAGTTTATATTTGTATTAATGTTGTAATTTATTTATTCTGTCATAGTTATATTTGCTGTCTTAGTGATTAATTGGATACAGTTTGTCAAAGTGTGTTTGCCATCATATTTTACTCACCGTTTCTGACCTTGACAGTCAGTATCAGTGATGAAGTAGAGTTCATCTGTATATTTTCTTCACATTTGACCGTACATTGAGTTAATTTCTTGAGCCGTTAGAGATGAGTGAACTCTAGGTAGTCCTGTGTGTTTAGAAGCTAAACTCAAAGACTTGCAGATTATCAGTTTTGCACTCTACCCCCCCCCCCCCCCCTTAACCATACTCCTCCATAGCCATTGTATTATTTACTAAATATCTTGTCTTTGCATTGTTGGATAATTTTGTTGAGTTTCCAAGTCCAACTTCATCCACAGGTCAGTTGGTTGTATACTGTATGAGATTTGTTCACTAGAACATGCCTTCATGGGCCAGGGTTTGATGGCTGTCATGTATAAAATTGTTGAGAAAGATCCACCCAACCTACCATCCAAGTATTCTCCTGAGTTGAATGAGGTCTTTAAGAAGTAAGTTCATTAATGAGATTAAACTTATCCTCGCTTAAAAATTTAAAAAACTCAACACCAACCCATCGATTTAGGCTGGTGAATTGTATGGCCTATTCATTCACAGATGATAATATGTTGGGTTTTTTTTTTCTTTCTACAAAATCAATTAGATATATATAGTGTTCTTATATTATTTTTATAATTACACTAAATTTAAACTTTGACACACTTGAGTTATCAAACAGACTGTTTAATTTTACATGAATATATATGCAATATTTTAGAATGGTAACTAAAGATCCAGAAAAGCGGCCATCAGCTACAGACGTCACAAAATTTCCTTTCATAGCCAAAAACATGGTTGTAAGTACATGCAAGTTTCTGTCTTGTTTTATGTAAAAAAAAATTCAACCAATCAAAAAGCATGAAAACAGGAAGTCTGCTGTGTTACAGCTAACTTAGACTTGTCAATACATTCATTTTTTTTTATAGTTTCTTCAAATTTATGCAATGAAATAAATTCTAGACAAAGTAGAAAAGATTCATGCCTGCACACTGCTTACTATAATGAAAAAAAAAGATTCCAAAATTGAAACTTGTTTTAATAATTTCCATATCTACTGCCTGTTGTAGAAAATGAAAGAGACGCTGACAGAAGAATACAAAGCCAAGCATAACTTGAACCCTGAAACTGCTGATAGGGAGGCACTGGAGCTGGCTTCATTGTTGTATGTACCTCGTCTGTTTTTAAAACTTGGTTGTCATTAATTGCCCTTTGGATATACAGAGTTAATATCCTTGTCATGAAATGCTTTTGGGCGAGTAAGCAAATGGTTGCTAGCCCGAAGTCCAAAGTTCAAACCCTCAGGCAGATGAGGCTCATCAGCTGGGAACAGCAACCCATCTAGGGGAGAAAACCGGTATCAAGCTCAAGCGGTACAGGTTATATCCTGTTCCTTGGGTCCATCTGCTGTGTGGAGAGAGGCGGCCTGATGCATGGGCAACATCTGGCTCTTCTCAACTTAGGGCCCAGGCTGTGTGCTTGGATATCCAATGCGCAATCATCCAATGGTCTATTAGACAACGGAGGGTTAAAATACTGTACACTTGACAGCTCTTGTATTCTTGTACCTTGTAGTAGATAAATATTAGTTTCAACATTCATTTGTAATCTAAAAATATCCTCACCGTGCTGAACCTCTAAAAATGTCCCCTCCCCAGACGTGAAAAGTCTCACCTAGATGACCTTAGGTCAACCATGGACAAATCAAACAAAGAAGAGGAGACCAGGACAGAGAAGAAAAAACTAACTGCCAGAGAAAGGTTAATTCTTCGCAAACGGGAGGAAGCAGACAAGAGAGCTCAGGATTTAAAGTTAGTATCTTCAGTCTTCAATATACCACAGGCAATAGTCTCAGTTATATAAAAAAAAATTCCAATATATTACAGGTAACGTCTCCAATATATCGGTGGCAACAGTCTCAACTTTGTCACAGGAAACCTCCTATATATTACATGAAACAGTCTCAATTATATCACATGAAACCTCCTATATATCACAGGCAACAATCTCAGTTATGTCACAGGAAACCTCCTATATATCACATGAAACAGTCTAAATTACATCACATGAAACCTATATATCACATGAAACAGTCTCAATTACATCACATGAAACCTCCTATATATCACATGAAACAGTCTAAATTACATCACATGAAACCTCCTATATATCACAGGCAACAATCTCAGTTATGTCACAGGAAACCTGCTATATATCACAGGCAACAGACTCAGTTATATTACAGAAAACTTTCAATATATTACAGGCAACATCTCCACTATATCACAAGCAACAGTCTTCGATATGTCACGTTCTTGTTTTGATCATTTCACACACAACAGCCTCACTGAAGGTCTCATAACATAAGGACATATGCATCTCTTTATCTTCACTAAAAAATTTGGGAAATTGTTTTTGTTTTAGATTTTATTTGAAAATTTTTTTTTAACAGAAAAGCGACTAAAATTCAACTGGAGGAAAACGCCGAGAGACGAAATAAAATAAAAAACAGTTTTGAACAAACCACTGTAAGTTTTAGTAGAGTATTCTCTCAGATTTTATCATACACTTTATGGTACATTTAGAACATGTTGTGTTTATTTCATGTTTTATTATGTAACTGTTTGTTGGGTCAGCATTTGTACACAGAAGTTTTTGTTAAGTATTAAAATTTAAAAGTTGGGCTGTACGTATGTTTGTCTTTAAGTAGCTCAGTCTTCTAGTAGTTACCAAATTACGTTCATATGGTAAACTTATAGTCTCTCTTGGATTTTTTATAAACATGACTTTACAATGGTTGAATGGTAGAGCCTTTGGCTGCTAACCCAAACTTTATGAGTTTGGAACTTGTGTCTTTAGGACGTCCCTGAGTCCACTTAGCTCTAATAGGAACCTGGCTTAAGTTGGGGAAAGAATAGGTGGCTGAGAATATTGCTGATTACACCATCCCTTCTTACTTACTTACTACTATAACTAGCTCAACTTTATGACACAAATGTTGACTTTCATTTACTGTGACTGGATGTACTACTATAACTAGCTTAACTTTGTGAAAGAAATTTTAAACTATTTTACTGTGACCAGATGTACTACTATAACTAGCTCAACTTTGTGACACAAATGTTGACTTTATTTTCATTTACTGTGAATGGATGTACTACTATAACTAGCTCAACTTTGTGACAGAAATTTTAAACTGTATTTTACTGTGACAAGATGTACTACTATAACTATCTCAACTTTGTGACAGAAATTTAAAACTGTATTTTACTGTGACCAGATGTACTACTATAACTATCTCAACTTTGTGACACAAATGTTGACTTTATTTTCATTTACTGTGAATGGATGTACTACTATAACTAGCTCAACTTTGTGACACAAATTTTAAACTGTATTTTACTGTGACAAGATGTACTACTATAACTAGCTCAACTTTGTGACACAAATTTTAAACTGTATTTTACTGTGACAAGATGTACTACTATAACTATCTCAACTTTGTGACACAAATGTTGACTTTATTTTCATTTACTGTGACTGGATGTACTACTATTACTAGCTCAACTTTGTGACAGAAATTTTAAACTGTATTTTACTGTGACCAGATGTACTACTATAACTAGCTCAACTTTGTGACACAAATTTGAAACTTTATTTTACTGTGACCAGATATACTACTATAACTAGCTCAACTTTGTGACAGAAATTTTTAAAATTTAATTTACTGTGACCAGATGTACTACTATAACTAGCTCAACTTTGTGACAGAAATTTTAAACTTTATTTTACTGTGACCAGATGTACTACTATAACTAGCTCAACTTTGTGACAGAAATTTTAAAATTTATTTTACTGTGACCAGATGTACTACTATTACTAGCTCAACTTTGTGACAGAAATTTAAAATTTATTTTACTGTGACCAGATGTACTACTATAACTAGCTCAACTTTGTGACAGAAATTTTAAAATTTATTTTACTGTGACCAGATGTACTGCTATAACTATCTCAACTTTGTGACAGAAATTTTAAACTGTATTTTACTGTGACCAGATGTACTACTATAACTAGCTCAACTTTGTGACAGAAATTTTAAACTGTATTTTACTGTGACCAGATGTACTACTATAACTAGCTCAACTTTGTGACAGAAATTTTAAAATTTATTTTACTGTGACCAGATGTACTACTATTACTAGCTCAACTTTGTGACAGAAATTTAAAATTTATTTTACTGTGACCAGATGTACTACTATAACTAGCTCAACTTTGTGACAGAAATTTTAAAATTTATTTTACTGTAACCAGATGTACTACTATAACTATCTCAACTTTGTGACAGAAATTTTAAAATTTATTTTACTGTAACCAGATGTACTACTATAACTAGCTCAACTTTGTGACAGAAATTTTAAAATTTATTTTACTGTGACCAGATGTACTACTATAACTAGCTCAACTTTGTGACAGAAATTTTAAAATTTATTTTACTGTAACCAGATGTACTACTATAACTAGCTCAACTTTGTGACAGAAATTTTAAAATTTATTTTACTGTGACCAGATGTACTACTATAACTAGCTCAACTTTGTGACAGAAATTTTAAAATTTATTTTACTGTAACCAGATGTACTACTATAACTAGCTCAACTTTGTGACAGAAATTTTAAAATTTATTTTACTGTAACCAGATGTACTACTATAACTAGCTCAACAGAAATTTTAAACTGTATTTTACTGTGACCAGATGTACTACTATAACTAGCTCAACTTTATGACAGAAATTTTAAACTTTATTTTACTGTGACCAGATGCCAGTGTGGAAAGGAGGGGAAGGGGAAGGTAAAGGCCTAAAGAACGCTCTGACAGTCAAGGACCCACGGCTTGAGCATTCTTATTATGAAACCATTAGTAAGTGACTATTTTTGTGTTAGATAGTATACTGACATTTAAATAATGATTTAAACGTGTGAAATGTCAACTCAGTTTTTGGTTCTTAAGCCATCAAATGACGTAAAAAAGATCTTAGCATGCTGAATAAAGCACAGCCTACATTAGTTACCAGGTTTATTTACTCTTACGCAAATGTTGATGTGCTTTCCTTCAATCAACATTTTTCATGGAATTAGAAATATTTTTTTCTAAATGTGACCAGGGTATGAATTAATGGAAGACTTTTATAACATTTACTGGACACTGTTATAATAATAAAATTGTTGGCATTTCAAAATGACTGCAAAATAGGGATTTGAACTGAGTTTTCTATTCCTGTTGTGGGGAGGGGAGTTTATTAAAAGTCAGCTCAAAAACTATTATACATTTTTATTTAAACTTTGTTTGTTTAAAACTTTTTTGAAAGATTTCTATTCCAAAGTTAAGCTTTTTTATTTAAAGGCTGTAAAGAAAAATATTTCAAATATTCAAAATTAAATACATTTTTTTGCATTGTAGTAAATCGTCAAGACAAATACGGTTCTTCTGAAGACGAAGGAGACACTGTGGTAGACATGTCAACTAAAAGACGCAGCTCGGATTTTGACTCTGATGATTCATACACAAACAGCAGGCAGTTGAAAAGTAAGGATCGATTAGTTCGGACCATGTCGGACAGGATGCCTCGGACCTTGACTGACCGAACACCCAACACGCTCAGCCTGACCATGGGAGCGGAGCGTCCCATCATGCCGATGAAGGATTTGATGGTGTATAATAGAGAGTATTCATCTCTGGACTTCAAGGATGGTGAGTCGTCTTAAGGCTTTTAGGGGTGGAGCCATCATAAGTGTGACAGCTAATGGGAGAGTGAGTTATCTTTAAAGAGCTTATACTATGAGGCTTTTAGGGGTGGGGCTATCATAAGTGTGACAGTTAATGGGAGCATAGCTTCCCATAAATAAGGTGAGCTGATCCATGATACAGAAAGTAAAGGGCAAGTGGGCATATGACAGGTGGGCATATGACAGGTGGGCATATGACTGTGACATGCAGAGACAGCTCGTTTGGGCCCCTGGATGAAAGTGTATCAGTCATGTCCCCCCCCCCATCTAAAACTACCCCCCCACCCTAAAACTACCACTCATAACATTTTACTAATGTTATGTGGACATTCACTGGAATATACATTTGGGACTTACAAGTTACATACACAAACCATTCAAACTGAATAATTAAAATCTATTTAATCTATCCTATGTTAGCCAGATATAACCAGCCAATTAACGGGTTCATTAGTGATTGTCATGTGTTGCCAGGTATACCAGACACGCCTGACCTGGCAGACACCTATTACGAGCAGTTCAAAGACTTTGATAAGGACGACAGTGAAGAAGATGATGATGATAATGAAGGAACTGTCACTGTAAAAGATGATGAGGAAAATTTTATCAATTGTCTTGAGATGGCCTTGGACAAAGATGACGGAGGTGAGACTGGTTGGAACATTTTTTTTTCTTTATTTTCTTTTGTTTTTACCTTTTGTTTCATTTGTGTGCAAATAAAGACAGTTATTTGTAGTAGAGTTCAAGGTAGCTGAAGAGTTAACATGGGTTAAATGTAACAGTATAAAAAAAATGTCCATATATATCTGGCCCAGTTTGGGTGATGATATTCAAGTGGGGGGGGGGGGGGGTCACTCTAAGGTGGAATTTCAATCAGATGTAATAGAAGTAGTTCGGCCACAAATGGTGATAGGGGGTCATCCATAAATGACGTCACGCTTTTTTTGACGATTTTTACCTCCCCCCCTCCCCTCCGTCACACTTCGTCACAAAAAGCCAGACCCCCCCCCCTAAAATGACGTCACACCTCAACCTACAACCCCCCTCAAAATTGCAGTTGAATTTTTTTTAAACATTAATATTTTTCCAAAATGTTGTCTAAACTATTACAATTTATTAAAACAGTTATCTAAAACGCGAAATAACGTCTAAAATTCGTTTTCTAACATTGCTTTTTTATAATGCAAAAATGTGACGTCGCAACATCTGACCCCCCCCCCCCCCCCCTCCCCCTCATCACACATCGTCACAAAATTACGGACCCCCCCTCCCCCCTACAAGTGTGACGTCATTTATGGATGACCCCTAGGCATAATTAATTAATATGTTATATATATACATAGCTATTTTAAGAAAGGGAATTTGAAACAATGAAATAAGAAATAACAATGACTGAGAAGGTTAGCTCTTATTAAGACTAATTTACATTATGTGAGTTTCAAATTTAACAATCAATCCCTGATTCTATTTAGATTAGATGAAAAAAAAATACAGTTGGATTCTTTATAGGTCAATAACTGATATAAAACTTTATCTACAGAATCTACTTTGGTGAGTGATGACACTGTTTCAGGGGCTTTTGGCCCTGCAGCAAGGGAGACAAAAATAAAAAATTTGAAAGGGTGAGTTATCTTTCTTATCTTTATAGACAAAAGAATAAGATATTTTAAGAATTTTTTTAAAATATGGATTTTTTAAAGAATTGTTGAAATATGCACTAGATCTAAATATTTCATTTTTTTCAATTTAATATGTTTATTACAAAAATAAAATTTTGGCTATTTATATTACCACTGGATTTAAAATGCTAATGAAGTTCACACAAAATTTTTTATCTAAGTTTTTTTTTTCCAATTGACTAGTAAATGTTCTTTTAATCACTTATGTAAGTAAACTATACTACAACTGATAATACCAGAGTTCTCTATAGTAAAGTTAGCTTTTAATAATCTTTTTACAGTGAGTGCATCCGTACTTTGGGAGAGGAAGGATTCAAACAAGCGTACAGTTACCTAAAACAGGCAAGGACAAAGGAAAATAAATCCGAGAAAGAAATAATGGATGGCTTGAGAAAGTTGGTCAAAAATCCATCGGATTGTTTTGCTGTGGATCAGCTCTTATTTCTTGAAGAACAAGCAAAGTTCAGCTAGTGGAGAATTTTTTTTTAAATTTGTATCTGAACATTTTTTTAATATAGATCTACATTCCAAGTATTACACCAAAATAGAATTAATATATATTTAACAATTTTATATAATTTTAATTTACCAGCAGTGATTCTATTTTTTTGTGTTTATGTACAAAATATTTTTTAATGTCTTTCATTAATATTTTTGAATAATAAGGATTTTATTAATGACTTCATTGAAATTACGATTTTTTTTTTCAATGTAAACTTGGCCGTCCATTAGTGTCCATTGTAAAAAAAAAAAAATTTTCCATTGTCTATGAAAATTGTTTTTTTTATTGTTGTGATATAATCCCAATTTTTTATCTAATATTTGACACCATGGTGTTGTGGATGTCTGACCTTTGACACCATGATGTTCTGAATGTCTGACCTTTGACACCATGATGTTCTGGATGTTTGACCTTTGACACCATGGTGTTCTTGATGTCTGACCTTTGACACCATAGTGCTGTAGATGTCTGACCTTTAACACCATGGTGTTCTGGATGTCTGACATTTGACACCATGATGTTCTGGATGTCTGACCTTTGACAGCATGGATGTGTGTAGGACTGTAGAAGTAGCATAGAGACAACACACTGAGAGAAGACCAGTTGCCATCTCATGTCAATGGCTTCAGAGCAGCTGTGAAAATATATTTAATTATATTTAATTAGATCCTAAAAAGCACTTTATGTTACATGTGTAATTTTTGTGTATGAAAAAAGAATATAGCTTAGAAGTTACTATCTGTTTAGTTTTAAATATTATAGGTCGTATCATCATGCCAGTTTAGAATTTGATTTGTGAAATTAGTAGTATTGTTTGAAATCCAAGTACATAATTTTTTTTTTAAATCGACATTATTTTGATTCAAATTAATGTCTCTTTATTTATATTTTTAAAATTTCATGACTGTTCCAAAGCATTAATTTGATTGTAAGGTTTTTTAATGTAATGTTATTGTATTTTTAAAAATTAATTTTTGCTTTTTAAAAATGTAGTAGTTTATTTTAATCTTGATGATTTTCAGAATATTTATAATTTTATGCTTTTAAATGAGAAAGCATGTGATGCATATGTATGTCTAAGGTTTGCTTTAAAAATGTATTGTAATGCTTTGAAGTGACTGATTCCAATAACATGTGTTACCCACACAATGAACATGTACATTCATTTGTTTTTATTTGTGTATCTTTTATGTTACAAAATTTTTTTTTAAATGTGTAGCTTTTTATCTTAACCACAACTATTCATAAGTCAGCTTTTAGTTGTTTTTGTTTTGTTGGCAGCTGTACACCAGCTTTTAACACCTTGATATTATGTGATGAAAGATAAAACAAAACAAATAATGTGGTATTTCAGTTTACGAACAACTCCATGAACAAACATAGCAGAGAACAAATGTTTGGATCATTTTTCATTTAGTGAACCAAACAAAATCGAGTAAACAAAATTATAGTTCCTGCAACCACCAATTATCTCTGCTGATTCAGACTAATTAAACAGTAACAAATTAAATTTTTTAACAGTGAACAAATCTTGACCAGGAATTGAGTAATTTCATTAACTGAGATACCACTATGTGTGTATAACTATGTGTATGATTATAATATACACATACATACACACATATATACATACATAATACACACACATATATATTTTTTTAAATATACATACATATAAGTTCATTCGTTATTGTAATTTGTATCACCATGTATACTTTAGTTAAAACATTGACAATTTTGAACCAGTTCATAATTATTTTTTTAGACATTATCAACAGCATAGACACCACTGGTTTCACACCAATCTTACTTCCAGTTTGATATTTGCTTTAGGAACTCTCTTCAAATCAAACTCTTGTGGTATAGCAGTATCTACAATTTTACACTATGCTGTATGTATTAAGTTCTATCTAGGGTGTTGTAATAACTGGCAGGATAGTCACTACTGATTGACAACCATTACTGATTGACAGTCATTTCTGATTGACAGTCAATACTGATTGAGTCATTACTGATTGAGTCACTACTGATTGACAACCATTACTGATTGACAGTCATTACTGATTGACAGCCAGTCTTTACTGATTGAGTCACTATTGATTGACAGCCACAGTCATTACTGATTGACAGTCACTACTGATTGACAGTCACTACTGATTGACAGTCACTACTGATTGAGTCATTACTGATTGAGTCACTACTGATTGACAACCATTACTGATTGACAGTCATTACTGATTGACAGCCACAGTCATTACTGATTGACAGTAACTACTGATTGACACATTGTATTGAGTTGTACTGACACTTGTGACAGAATCCTGCATGCAAGGCTGATTAACCCTGCTTAAGCTTCTATATTACTTAGCTTTTATTCCTATGCAGCAAAGCCTTATAGATGCAGCGCTTCAAAAAATAAGGGGTTTATTTCCTTTAGTCCAGCAGATGTTTAGTTGTATCTGTATGCCAAAAAATGCATTGTTGAACTGTAAACCTTTTTTTTCTTTCACTATTACTTGCATTTTTTTAAAAAAAAACATTCCAAGCATTTTTTTTTAAATAATTTCAATTATTCAAACAAATTATTTCTGAAGAAAGAAATCAGTTTCTCTGGTCATTTTTTAACATTTGTTTTTTTTTTAATTACTATTTAGTTTGCTGACCATGCAAAATTCAACTACTTATGATAAAACATTTATTTTTGTTATTCCTATGCTTGACTGAAGATTGAAGTTAAACTTTTTAAAATGGTATATCAAATAAAGTAACTAACAGATAAGCCCATATGTGTTAGCCTTTTGCTTTTGAGAATATTAAGCAGAATTTTGATGTTAAGCTTTTTAAGAATTTTCACAAAGAAAATGAGTAATCATGATTTTATTAAAAAGAACACACAAAAATTAATATTTATAACAATTTTTTTATTGAGGAATACATAATTTTAAAAAGTAACCATTTTACATAACCAATGTACATGAATGTAACATTTTGCTCCATTAAAATATGACACCAATATGGTGCAGTGCTACATAAAAACCAACTATTCCATTACTTAATCCTTATAGGTAAACAAACTGTGTTAACATGGTGACGTATCATTTTACTTAACATAATTTATCTCAACATTTTAGTTACCATCCAAGCAGTGTATTTTATTTACATTATCATTTCATGCGTCTCTTCTTCTCTTGTGGCTGTGCTGTAGCTGGCTGAGATTCAGTAGATGAGGTGGCAGCTGAAGGTACACTGAAACCAGGGATCTGGAGGGGGTAGAAAATATTAATGTGGTGCAGGCTAACACTTGGGTCAGGTTACCTGAATTATACCACATACATTATTACAAGAGTTTGGAAAAGTAAACATTCGTTTTTCTTTAAGACTAGAGGCTGGTGGTTTTCCTTTCAACACATATTTGTTGACATAAAACAAATCTGTAACTTGAATACAATTTATAAGGCATTTTTTAAATTGTACAACCCAGATAAAAAAAAACAACTCAACATCTTACCTTAGGTTTGACAAGTTTAAGTGATAGTTTCATATGCTGGACATTGGTGCGGTCAATACTTAGTTGGACAATGACTGGATCAAACACATGAATAGTCACATCCCCCGCTGTTTGGGTGTTCATCTATAGACACAAAAGGTTTATCATTTTGTATTCTAACAGAGACATTGTATAAAACGCTCAGCCCCTTCTAACGATATTTACCCAAAAAATTATCTTATGTGTGAAAAATTATGTCATTGACAAGGTATACCAAGTTTTTTATCTGCTTTATGACATAAAGATCTTAAAGATCTTTGCTGCCATGGCACATCTCTCTATACAAAAATGGCACTATATAATTGCATATGATCCATACTCAAATGTGTGGGTTCCCATGAGAAACAGTACATTTATAAACAAGAAAACATAAATCACTGACTAAATATTTTAGTAACTGTTTAAATACAAGAAACAGCAGATGATCATAGTTTTTGCAATGAGTGCTAGAATAAAATTGAAGTCAACTATCTGGAGTTTAATGTTAAAAATTCCAACCTCTTCATTGTAAACAAATATACTTGAGGACTTCTGGCCTTCATCATTAAGAAACACAGTCCCTTCTAGCCCATACTTGGGTATAAGGATCTGTAAGGCGTTTTTACGCACAAATAAAACATGCCCTTCTTCATCCTGCACCCTTGTCTTAAAGAAAAGCTGTAAGAATAACAATTGAAAAAAAAAACAAATTATTCGTTTATTTAGTTTCTAACAAATAAAAGCAAAAATTACAAATAGTACTTGTTGACAGAAAATCCAACAGTAAAACTAAACTGATGTGAGAGCCAATGTTTTAAGTGTAAATTATTAGCAAGCCCAGCAGTATAAAATTAAATCAAATAAATGAAAGCAGTGAAATCAAACCTTACATGTGTGTGTAGGTTAACAGAAGCTCTGCCAGCATACTGTGCCATCTTGTGTCTGTAGTTGAGGTTGTTACACAAGGTCTGCAAAAAATGTGTGTGTAAAATAAGGCATTCGTCCTCATTAAACTGGAGTCAAGCATACATGTAACAATAAAATACAAAATACTATCTTATCATATTATCAGAATGGCACAAAGTGATGAGTGACTTTAAATAATAAGCTGATTTTACCACCTCTAGAGCATGAATCTAAAATATTTCACGCATCCTTACACTCAAATTTGATACAACCACCCATCTTCTTTACTATTAACTAGCTACTTTTTGTATAGTGTTTTGCTAAAGATTTTTCTGACAAAAGATAACACAGGAAAAATTTGTGGTCTAGCTAAGATACATTTGTCTGTGTTTTAAGTATGGGTGTGGTGTAACTGCTTAGAAGATTAACTGAATCTTCATGTATTTTTGTTGTATTATCTTTACTTGAATTTTGTTTACTAGTGTGTTATGTTTACTAAAACTACACTGAGGTTTACCTGAATTTTGGACTTGTCCAGCAAATCTGAATAGGATGCATCAGCCCCAATGCTGACAGCTAGAAGTCTGTGTGCAATGATATCAGAGTATCTGGAAGTGAAAAGTTTCATTTGTCTCTAGTTTTCATTAACTAAATAGTATGTGAAACATATATAATATCAATTAACATGTATAAACTTTGATCCTTTTTTTTAAAGTATCAGTTAACAATAATATTTGTACCTAAATATTTATTTCTATTGATCTTTTTACTGAAGGCTGTGTCAACTAAACTTCTATGTTTTTTATTTTGTTTTGTTTTTTTCTGGCAAAGAATTGATTCAAATGTTGTGTTTTATAATAATAGTTATATCTTTAATTCCCCAGAGGATAAAATGTTACTGTTTGATGGGGGATGTGAACTCTTTCACAACATGATCAGTTATTTTACTTTCTAATGGGACATGTGACTAATACTTTAGCTTCAAACTGGGTATGTGACTAATATTTTACCTTGTAATGGGTGATTGACTTATTACCTTCTAATGGTGGAATGTGACTAATTACCTTCTAATGGTGGAATGTGACTAATTACCTCCTGATGGTGGAATGTGACTAATTACCTTCTAATGGTGGAATGTGACTAATTACCTCCTGATGGTGGAATGTGACTAATTACCTCCTGATGGTGGAATGTGACTAATTACCTCCTGATGGTGGAATGTGACTAATTACCTTCTAATGGTGGAATGTGACTAATTACCTTCTAATGGTGGAATGTGACTAATTACCTTCTAATGGTGGAATGTAACGAATTACCTTCTAATGGGTGAGGTGAAGTGAGTGTAAATGGGCGTGGCCAAGCCATAATGTAGGTAGTCAGACGGCTGCAACATCCCACTGCAGAAGTACACAGCCTGCATCATACAACGGGTCGTCATGATACGTAACATAGTGTTAAAGTACGGGTTCTCCGCCACCACAGCCTTGTCTAAGCTGTCAGCCAGGCCTTTGCCAGATGATACGTCAATCTTGAAGCCCTGGAGCAGATATATAATATTGGGTTAGGTTGACAGTCAATGGGATGTATAAAACAAGATTGGGGTGAATATAGACAAAAGGGTAGATACATTTGAATTCTAATTCACCTATTCCAAAACCACTCTAAAGCAAATCTACAAGATTGTTAACAGAAAAGTTGAAATTCCATTGGGAAGTTAAAACAAGATTGTAAACAGTAAAATTAAAATTCCATAGGGAAATTAATACAAATTGTAAGAAAAAAAGTTAGTTTTCAAATCTATCATCAAGTACCCATCAAAACTGAGTGAATTTAGCGATGTCCTACAAACACATTCTACAAATCCATTATTATATTTACAAACCAGTTGAGATTTTTATTTTAAATGATGTATCATCCACCACTTTTCCAATGCTTAAATACAAAACAGGGGAATAGACAAATAGGCAACTAAAGTGTGGTATGCTTATAAAACTAACAAAGATTTTTAATTTATAAAAACCAATGCTACCTTAGATGCTGCTGCTTTGATCAAAGGATCAAAATTGGATACAGGTGGGGATGGATGGCGCCTGAGAAGTGCATTATCTGGAAACTCTAGTAGGATTTTTTCAGCAACAGCAATGTTGGCTAACAACATGAACTCTTCAACCATGGAGTTAGTATCTCTGTTGTGGACAAATATTTTTTTAAATACAATCTAGAAGAACAAGGTTCTAAATGAGGCATTATATACAGGCTAGTATAAAAATGTAACTCTAGGGTGCTGTAATGTAGATTAAGGAATTTTTTAAAACTGTCAAAAGAACTTAAAAGATAACAGAATATCAGCTGATAACATTTTCATAAAATATATTCGCATACAAACAAAAGTCCAGCTTCATTATTCATAATTACAGACTAAAATGTAAATAAACATTAGAAAGAGTAGTGTTAACACAAATTAATTTAAATTTTCAAACCCACCTGAGAACTTTAGTTTGCACATCTATTGGGTCGTTGGTTTCACTGTCAACATAGAACCTCACCTCTGTTGAGGCTAAGCTGAGGGCACTGTTGAAATTAAAGGTTAAAGTTACATTAAGCGCAAACTTTATTTTTTTTTAGTAATTTTTACACTAAAAGCAAAGTCAAATTTGAAAAAGTATATAAGTTTCATAACTACTTGTTATTATCAAATTCTAAGTGATTCATTAAATATATGCTAAAAAACAGTACAGTAACAAACATAAATGGTAAAAAAATAACACTAAATTTTTAAACAATGTAGACCTAAATCCTAAAGAAGTACACACCCATTGTCGAGCCTCTTCTTCTTTAAAATCTTGGCCAGCCTGTTCAGCCCCCTCAAACTAAGGGTTAAACTATCTGAAGCATTGGGGTCATCGATCTTCATCTGGGCTTCAGCGTATGTTAATGAGGCCTTTAAAAAAACATGAGTAACGTATGACTATATAATGTCACATCATAAATGAGAGTAGCATATGTGTGATGAGGTTTGAAGCTGTTTACAATAAAAGTCAGCCAGTTCAATCCATTTGTTTACCTTTGAATCAATGATACTCTTGGTGAAATCTGTGCTGATGATATGAGCCTCAGGAGTCATCTCCCATAACACAGAAAATGCAAACCTAGAAAAGATATTCGTCTTTGTTACATTCCTTTTTTAATTCTTAAATATGATCCAAATGTTAAATAAAATCAAACTGACCTATTGACCCCACTTCTCAGTGAACAAAGGTTTGAGCTCAATAAATCTGGGACCATGTCTATTCTCTGAAAACAACCAAAAAAATATTGTAAAACTACACAAACTATACTCCAATTGACAAATGTATACAAAATGAAGAAACAAAAACAACCTACTTTGTCAGTTAGATAGACTGTTGTTCCTCTGCTTGCTGCCTCCTGGTCTAGAGCATTTCCAGGTCGAATAAAATGAGAGACATCTGCGATATGAACACCAACCTAGGAAATGCACCATTTACACATGTGGTTAACTATACAAGAATTCTTGGTATTTTTCCTTAGCTTCCACCAAAGGGTTAATTATCCATATAAAACATATACCATTTACACATGTGGTTAACTATACAAGAATTCTTGGTATTTTTCCTTAGCTTCCACCAAAGGGTTAATTATCCATATAAAACATATACCATTTACACATGTGGTTAACTATACAAGAATTCTTGGTATTTTTCCTTAGCTTCCACCAAAGGGTTAATTATCCATATAAAACATATACCATTTACACATGTGGTTAACTATACAAGAATTCTTGGTATTTTTCCTTAGCTTCCACCAAAGGGTTAATTATCCATATAAAACATATACCATTTACACATGTGGTTAACTATACAAGAATTCTTGGTATTTTTCCTTAGCTTCCACCAAAGGGTTAATTATCCATATAAAACATATACCATTTACACATGTGGTTAAGTATACAAGAATACTAGATTCCACTAAAGGGTTAATTATCCATATAAAACATATACCATTTACACATGTGGTTAACTATACAAGAATTCTTGGTATTTTTCCTTAGCTTCCACCAAAGGGTTAATTATCCATATAAAACATATACCATTTACACATGTGGTTAAGGGGATATGCGCGGAAAAAAATCACAAAAATTCTTGTTTTTCGTCATGATGGGTTTCTTGCACTTTTGGATACTTTGTCCATTTTTGTATAAAGAAAATAATAACTTTAAAGAGAAAAAAATATTTTATGTGTTTGAATTACGATTTTTATGACCGTATTAATTAAAAAATAATCAATTTTTCCCAATCTAACAAGCTCTCTATGAAAAGTTTTTTTATCCGTCATTATATTGTATTTGACATCATCGGAAAGTTGGATTTCTCATGTATCTAATAAACTTAATTTCCTACATGTCGGAAGCACCCAAAGCTTACAATCGGCTTTGCAGTTCACACAGATATGGTACTTTCCTGACCTAGTTTTCGTTACTTTTGGCTGTTTTTCTCAGTTTGCATGTTTTTAACACTAAAAAGCCTACTACTTTTTTATTTATTAAACAATGCCAACCATATTTTCAGTAATTGTTCTTGATGCAAAAATACAACTTTTGTCACGAGGGAATTGTGATTGCTTTGATAGAAAAAAAGTATTTGGTAATTAATATGCAAATTTTGAAACTTTTGAATACTAAAAGGGTACGATATTTTAGACCTTGTAAAATTCTTACTAGTAATTATTTCAAAAAGTTGTCGTGACAAAATTTTTAATATATACTGAAATATAAGCAGTTTAAGTTTGATTGCTATAGGTGCATAAATAAAAAAGCCTTAGTATTTTTAAAAGTACCGAAAAATTCAAAATGGCGGAGGTTTTTTGAGTTTCCATGACAACCAAAATTGTTTTAGACCCCTTTTTTTGCTGTTTAATACTTACTTTTATATGCCAAATATGATAAAAGTATTCAAAAGGCTTTAGATCTTAAACTGTAAAAAATTGAAAAAAACATAGCATATCCCCTTAAGTATACAAGAATACTAGATTCCACTAAAGGGTTAATTATCCATATAAAACATATACCATTTACACATGTGGTTAACTATACAAGAATTCTTGGTATTTTTCCTTAGCTTCCACCAAAGGGTTAATTATCCATATAAAACATATACCATTTACACATGTGGTTAAGTATACAAGAATACTAGATTCTACTAAAGGGTTAATTATCCATATAAAACATATACCATTTACACATGTGGTTAACTATACAAGAATTCTTGGTATTTTTCCTTAGCTTCCACCAAAGGGTTAATTATCCATATAAAACATATACCATTTACACATGTGGTTAAGTATACAAGAATACTAGATTCCACTAAAGGGTTAATTATCCATATAAAACATATACCATTTACACATGTGGTTAACTAAATAAGAATTCTTGGTATTTTTACTAGATTCCACCAAAGGGTTAATTATCCATATGTATGTGTAAGAAACATTCTAAATGTACACTATGCATAAAAATATAAACATGGTAAATAAAACCCATGCCTTAAAATAGTTAAAGCACCTGGCTAAACATATGCTGATTTTTTTCAGACAGTACCTCATAATTTCCATTTTCTAACTTTCTACAGTGAAGAGCATCATCAATGTCTGTACAACCTGGCGGGTCAACACTACAGATGTCCAGGTGCCTCAAGTCTCGCCGCCTTTTCAAGTCCTAAACATGTGGGTAATTATTACATTATTATCAACATTAAAAAAAAAGATTTTTTAAAAAACCAGCTTAAACTAATTTTTAAAAGTGTAAATCTATGAATGAAATAATGAGCTAACATCTTCAGTGATTGTCCATGGCATTTTTGGCAGGAAACTGAGCACAGCCTCTGAGAACTTGGAGTGGGGAACATCATGCTCCAACAGCAGCACTTCGTTCTCTGTTTCCTTGTCTCCCACACCACCAAGACAGCGAACAAAGTGGCCCTGAATTCACAAAGAAAGTTTCACAATTAAAACAGAACAAAGTGGCCCTGAATTCACAAATAAAGTTTCACAATTAAAATAGAACAAAGTGGCCCTGAATTCACAAATAAAGTTTCACAATTAAAATAGAACAAAGTGGCCCTGAATTCATAAATAAAGTGTCACAATTAAAATAGAACAAAGTGGACCTGAGTTCACAAATAAAGTTTCACAATTAAAATAGAACAAATTGGCCCTGAATTCACAAATAAAGTTTCACAATTAAAATAGAACAAAGTGGACCTGAGTTCACAAAGTTTCACAATTAAAACAAAACAGAGTGGCCCTGAATTCACAAAGAAAGCTTCACAATTAAAACAGAACAAAGTAGCCCTGAATTCACAAAGAAAGTTTCACAATTAAAACAGAAATATGTTTCTACAATTTTGCTTTGATATAGAAACCTTTGCTTCTGGTTTAACAAGTTCTGATAAAAACTTGAGGGGGAAAAAAATCCAATTATAACAAAGCTACCACATTTAAATGTAAGTAAATGCACAATGTTTTAATCAAAAGCTTAAATGAAACTAAACAGAGAAATGTACATGAGTGTCAGAGAATTTAAAAATTCTTCAAGCTACCCACACTAAGTTACATGGTGTTAACAAACCTGAGGGTATCTTGAGTTCCGTGGCCAACTATCAATGGCCACAATTATCCTTTTAGAGGCCAAGTTTTCAGCTTGTCTGGTTTCTATCCTAATCTTTGGAATTCTCTTCTCTGCTGGTATAAACAGATGGCGAGTTCTCTGTGTGGCATAAGGTAAAGCATCTTCTTTAATGACTAGTTTTTTTGTTAAATAGAAAAAGCTAAAGAAAGCTAAAACATCTGTAGAAATCATTTAGTTGATAATAAGAAAAGCTACAGAAAGTAAAAGCATCTTTAAAAACCAGTTCTTTAATAATAAGAGAAGCAAGAGAAAGGTAAAGCATCTTTAAAAGAGAAGCTACATTAAGGTAAAGCATGTTTAAAAACCAGTTCTCTATAAGTATAAGAAACTTCAGAGAAAACTAAAGCATCAAGAACAAATAGCTAACAGAGAAACAGCCCAAGAACAAATGACCTCATGTCACAAACCTCTTTAAGCAGTGAAGGCTGTAAAATACCACAGTACTGTCTCCAGTTTCTTTTTATAATTCCCACCACACGAGCTGTTGGCTGGCGGAGTTCCTTGGGTACCTTGTTGCGGATCAGAGATTCCTGGAAAATAAGATAATAATAAAATTAAAATAACTTCCAACTGCAGTTTACTCAAGCATACAGCGTTTGTGTTTTTAAAGCTGAAAATATTTGTCCATGGTGAAGATATTTAGATAACATACTGAACTCCCCAAGCAAACTGCAATGAGCCATAAAAAGCTCAAAAATCATGAATCTAGAAGTAATTAGTCTAAAATGTTGACGCTGAAAGCATATCATATATCATTATCTGAAGTATAAATGATACCCAACAAATGCAGATCTGACAGCAAAATCACCACATTAAAAAACATTGATTAGTTGTTGAACTCAGTTCAATAAAATGTGAAGATTTTTACAATCTAAAGTAATAGTATATATCTATATATATAACAAGGACCCCCCCCCCATACACACACACAAAATTTATTTTTTTACCAATTAATAAACAATGACATATTTGTTAATTAAAGAAGTGAACCATACATCATACATTTGTTTATTCTTCAAGGTTACTCTTAGAAAAAAAAACATGGAGAAACTCACATTATCCGTAAGTTCCCTGTTTTCCTCATCCTCATCATCTTTTCCATCGTCCTCTGTCAGCACTAGTGAGGAAGGACAACTCCACTCTGATTCAGGCAGCATCTCTATGGCAACAATATCATCATTCACAGCTCGGTTCAAATTCTGCAATCCTTGGACAAAAACCTACAACAACATAAAAATGTGTTATTATCTTTACAGGGATTTAAATATGAAATTAATAAAATAGGAAGTAAATGCAAATAATTATAAAATCATCATCGCTTCATCTTTTCCCTTTAATGCCAAGAACACATGGTGATGCAACTGCCATCTGGTGTTTGGGCATTGCAGTGGCTTGGCAGGTTGTGTATCCTGATACTTATGACCCCCAAGCTATACCAGTGGGAGTGTTAACTCCTGGCATGTTCAACCCAGCTGAAAAGATCTGCGTGTGTATCAGACAAAAGCTAGCATCCTGGTTCACAGGTTGCGCTTTGAACAGAAGGCCAACAGCCTTATTTCATTTTTTTAAAAACTCAACAGAAACCAAATCAGAAAGTATTTAAACTATAAGCTGGTACCATGTGATCCTTGTCTTTCACGCTGACGTTAGCCTCAAGGTAGTTTTCCCGACTGATCAACAAGGTCCCCTGGAGGAATCTACCTGCTCTGATGCCTTTCTGTATATCCGCAAGCCCAAGATGCTCAGAAAATAAAACTTTACCACTTGTATCAGCAGACTAGAAAGATTTTAAAATTATATGAGACGGAATTCTCCAAAATGAAAGTTTAACATTTTAAAAACAATTTTTACAACAAGAGTCATGACAATTATAGAACATTTGTAATAAAGTCAGAGACTTTGTTGGTATACATTATAAATGTGAAAATCTCAGAACTTACAGACTGATTGAGTGGATTGGCAAGTCTGTCTATCAGGGATTGATTAGAAAGGCTTCTTACATAATCATGGACTGAAATAGAAATTATGGAATTGGTGTTTCAATGTAAAAAATTGTTAAATTTTAATGTTGCTCATTATATATTTTTTTAACCTAAGAGACCTCAATAAGTTTAAATTATATATAGTTTTTTTTTAATGGTGCTACCAAATATTGTAGCTGCATCCTTTTTCTCCTCATAAAGGGCTTTATAAGTTTTAAGTGAAGTCAATGAAATATATTGACAAAATTTTTAGTATCATGATGTATTTGGATATATTTTTAGAAATTATAAGCTTAGGAAAGATACAAAAGAGACTGCAAAACTAACTTTAAAAAAATCAGCAAAAAAAAAAGTAAGTTATCTCCCATAAAAAATTTATTTTTACTTGTGTATGCTGTGAGTTTCTCACTGACAGCTTTTTTATAATTGTCTGCATCATTCGTCAACAAAACAATAACAATTCCCTCATCTTTCAAGTGCTGGGAATACCAGTCAACTGCTTTCCGAATAGCCCTGTCATTACGATCATTAGCACTTTCTCCAGGTTTCCGTTCAACATAGGTATGCCTGTGAAAATTTTGAAATAAAACAAATAAAGTGGCAAAATCTGGGGAAAATAAGATTTTAAAATACAAACTGCATTATAAATTCTGACTAATGTTTATAAGACTTACATGTTAAATTCATTGCAGAAAGTATAAAAGCATTTCTGTGAGTTGCTGATTATATCTTTTACTCTTTTGTAAACAGGAGCACTTCTGTGTCGGATCTACGGAGACAAAGAAAAAACATACATTATTTAAGTAACAACTGTAGTCCTAATGAAAAAAATTAGAAACAATTTAGCTACTATTGTGTATGTGTGTTTACATCACCTACCTCATCAAGTACAGTCTGTAGAATAATGACATTCTTAACTGATGGGTCTTCCAAGATATCAATCTGAAATAGATTTTACAAGTTTAATCGTATTTGCCATCTGATACAGACTAAAAACATTTGAATGTGATTTAGGCAATGGCTATTAAAGTTAAAGCTGCTTCAGTTGTTTTAATAAACATGTCTTCCACTTCCGTAAAAAATAATATATATACAGGCCTAATAAGAGAAGAATAAACAGTTTTTATTGATAGATCTAAATATGGAAAGGCAGGCTGAGACAGAAACTGCTGTTATATGTTGACATATTAAATCATTATATAAGAAAGTATACCTGATGCAGAGCTACATTTGTGTCTGGTATGATGTAGTGCGGCTCTGGAACAAGTTTGCTGTCACTGATTGGCTCTCTCTCTAAGCAAACATTATTAGCTGGCTCACATTTCTTTTTGCAGGCTTGAGAACCACAGCAGATATCATCTCTTAAATAATGCTCACGCACTATTTTCATCACACCTCCAAGCCTGGTCTTCTTGATGAAGACTTTGTTTGTCAACATGATGACAACTTATTATCTGTAATAAAATGAATATATTTCTTATATTTATTACAGAGATAATTCTTAATTATTTTTTGTAGAAACTAGTCCAGGTTAGATTAATTTACTTTAGGCCTTAGGCCTATTCAATATATTATGATGTTGTAGGCCTAATTAATTTAGTAAATTATCACATCTAAAGTACTAAAAGCTTGTAATATTTCCAAAGCTTACTGAGGGTATTTTTAATGCACCCTGTTTTAATAATTATCCTGGCCTATTGTTGATAAGGCTTATAAAAATAACAGTTTAAAATGCGACCACCATCATGAAATCTGGAATTGTTTTTAAAAATACTAACTAAATAAAATTAATAGATCTATAAAGTAACCAATAAAAACTATACTATTTACTATAAACTGGCTTAGGCTTAGTCAGGCTTAGTGCTAGTCATGGGAGTCAGATTAGATTAGAGTTTAGAAAGTGATAAATCTCATCTGAAGGCGATAAGCGGATAAGGCCCACAAGCCGTGACAAGGTACAAAGACAAAGTGACAAAGCAAAAAGGAGGGTCATCTTAATATATTAGGCCTTGTGGTAGCAGTGTGTGTTCTCTGAATCTAAAAATAAAATCAGTGTGTAATATTATAGAAATAGTAGTGTGTAATCACAACAAATGTGACAAAGCACATGATAAAATATAAAATTTCAAAATAAATGAATGGGTGGTTGTGGGTCTGTCAGTTCAGTAAGTTTGCCATTTGGCCCATTAGCGATCAATAATCAATCTGTTATTTAATGTATGTGCTAGATCTATATCTAATTAATGGTAAAATCTTAGTTTAGCGTCGTAAATTCCAACGTAGCTAGTAATGTGCGATGAAGGTAACTAATGAATATTTCTTTCATTTGGCCATATTTATGTCATATTTTACACAATATAACAGATAATTGAATAACAAATCACAATCCAAGACCAAACCAGTCATAAATATCCTGGAATAAACTTTAAACTACCCCGTTCGAGACAACAATGAGCAAATACAAGCAGCGGCCATGTTTTAAAAACAATAAATTGTCTATTCGCATGTCTTTTGTGTTGATTTTGTGGTTTAATATGATTGTTTTGTATTGTTTTAATATATGCGGGGGGGGGGGGGGGGGGGTCGTCCATAAATGACGTCACACTCGTAGGGGGGAGGGGGGTCCGTAATTTTTTGACGTTGTGTGGGGAGGGGTTCAGATGGTGCTACGTCACACATTGCATTTTAAAAAAGCAATGTTACAAAACGAATTATAGACGTTATTTTGCGTTTTAAAAAACTGTTTTAATACATTGTAATAACAATTGATTAAAATAATCTATTTTGACAGAGTTCAGACAAGATTTTGGAAAAATATAGCTGTTTAAAAACAATTCAACTGCAATTTTGAGGGGGGTTGTAGGCTGAGGTGTGACGTCATTTTAGGGGAGGGGGTCTGGCTTTTTGTGACGACGTGTGACGGAGGGGAGGGGGGGGGGAGGTAAAAATCGTCAAAAAAAGCGTGACATCATTTATGGATGACCCCCTGTATAGTAATTTTTCTTTTTTTTTAATATAGTTGACATGAATGACTAATAGATCTTATCAGACTTAATAGTGTGCATCCAAGATCACAACAATTGTTGGGAGGTCGAACTTGTGAACACTTTATTTGCAGTAAGCAAATCAATATTAGATCGCTCATAAATGACGTCGCTCTTAAGATAGTAATGATAGCGTGTATTATTACAGAGCAAACATATGAACATATTGTTTCAGATAGAAATAGTGATTTGTGGTGGGGAGAGGTTGAGTAGAACTCAGCGATGTGATTTTGGAGACGGGTCAGGTTTTTTTTTTCGTGAAAACGGGATGGTTGTGGGAGAAAGACCAGCTGTAGAAGTATGACGCGTCATTCATAGGTGATCCATTTTCTCAGTGGGGACGAAAGAACTATTAAGAAGGGTCAAGAAATCTAAAAAGCTTGCCGAGTCGCATTTCTTGAACCCCACCTTTTTCATTCCCCCACTTAGCAGATCGTCACCGAGTTAACGCTCGCACGTGACGTCATGTAGCGGTACCGCCGACCGTTAGGCTAATTTTATAGAAAAAAACAACAACAAGCACTGCCTTTTTGACGCTTTTGCGACGTTTAATTTGATTACATAAGTTGGTGTTCATTAAACAGCCCCTAACACATCTATCACTCGTCCATTTAAACGTACGTAGTTATTTCTGCAAGCTTGCTGTCTTGAGACTTTCGGCCCTTTAAAAATGTATTAAGCTCACACCGTATAGAACTAGACTACCCATATTAAGCTCCAAAAGAAGCTTGGTGAAAACAGGATGGCCGCCCGATTTTGTAGCTGCTCTGCGCTTTATAAAAACCACAATAAACGATAAGATGACACTTATATTAAAGTAAATTATAGTTCTGAATCTTGATACATTAAAAGTGATATTCGGAAATTAAGAGCCAGACAGTCAACATGATATTTCAATTTAAGTCCAAGAAAATAAATTTCCTCAAACGATGGAACATTACTAAATTTTCGCGCAGTTTAGCGAAATTGAATTTAAGTATTTACGTCATCTTACAAAGCGCGATAGCCTACTGGTGCTCTACTAACGCGGCCCATGCTAATGGCAGTATTCCTAACGCCCCGCATTAGACGCGGCTTATTCGTCGGCAGGCATTTGGTGGCAAGCCTTTTTGACGGGGATAATGTGTTGCGGCCGTTTTGCCGAATGTCTTAAACTAGCAGGCTTGCAACATTTGTGATGATTCGTTTTAAGCAAGGTATACGTATACCAATGCTTATTTATCGTTATTTTGATCGAACAAAGCATTATAGAGTTTCTCCATCAACCACCTAGGTATTTTTCCCCGTTCACCTCCTTTCATGAGACCGACACGTCATAAATTGCGGAGCCGCCTGAGTTGACGTCACAAATCTTCACTCACTCCCGTAGCAAATCATATGTGACATCATTTATGGACAACCCCATATCACTCACTTGTGTACTTGATATTGACAATTTGACAACAAAGGATAACCAACATGTGTCTGGCAGGTGGAGACTTGCGATCGACCATAATGACAACACGCACTTAAGGGGTGGACTGGCTCATTGTTTTAGATGATGTTTTACGAGGGAAGCTGGTGGATAATACATTTTGTCTCTCTGTATATATAAATGATGACAAACATTTAATGTTGTCAAAATTATGGTTAGAGATCTTAGATAAGGCAGAGTGAAGCGTAATTTTTTACATTATGACTTGTGACATTGACAACAAAAATATGACGGAGTTTGGGGTTTAATTAAGGTAAAGAGAAGCAAAAAATGTCATAAGTTAAGATAGAATCACTAATTGATGAAAAGAAAAACCTGAAATGAAAATAGTGAACATTCAAACAATAAGAAAAAACTCAAACTATATAGTAATAGAAAGATCAAATTAACATTAGTAAAAAAAAAAACGTGATTTAATACATGAATACAAGTTGCATCTCACAATGCTTCTAGAATTAATAAAGTTGTTTGTTAGGAAATTCAGTTTTTAAAGAGCAGAATTTTAAAAAAAAAATGCTTTGTAATACGGATTATACAACAAGACAATCATATTTAAATACATTTTCATACGAATAGAAATAAAAGGGAAGCTACTCTAAATAACAATTTCTTAAGATGGCTGCTGTTTTTAATAGCAAATTTACTATCTCGAACAGGGTTGATAAAAATTAATTTCAGGATATTTAAATTGATTTAACCATAAATGGTGATCTATTATTCAATTATTTATAATATTTTATCAAAATATACGAAAATATACTCATATTTTATTATTTAATGACATATTCATTAATTCACTCTCTCCTACATTACTAGTTTTGGCCGAATTTACGACGCTAAACTAAGATTTTACCCTAATTAATTATAGATCTATAGGCCTAAATTTATTTTTATCAACAGATCTAGAATCTAGAGTTCTAGACTAGATCTAGAGAAGTCTAGATCCCTACCGGCGTGTTGTTTGGTGATAAACTTGTGTAATAATTTTTAGTTGAGAGTTAAGCCCCCTTGCTATGGTAAAGGTCAAGCTAAGTACCAGATTCAACAAGAAAGAAAAGCCTAAATTGAAACGGTTACTTTTCACAAACGAGAATGAGTTGTCAAAAACCTAGAATTTTTAGTTGCCTGCTTTCCAAACGCAGACTCTTATCTTTCAATACTTTGGAAAGGGCTGTTAAAAAATAAAGTAGATTATACTCATACATTAGTAGTTCTCAACCTGGGTTGGGTGAGTCAGTCTCAGAGTCCAAGATTACACACCCGACTCTTTGCCGACTCATACTCATGTCATATGATTTGCGATCAGATTTAGTCAGAGCGGAGGATAGAAAAAAGCGGCCGCGGTCGATAACAGTTCAAATAATACGCCAAACTGCGCCAGAGCGAGACAATACGTATGAGTATTGTGATATTTCTATATAGTGGAACCCTTGACGTCGCGACACACGTCACGAATCGTGCCAACGCCACATATACAGACGTGCGTTGATCATGTACACACGTGCTGTGTCGAACACACTTTGTGGCCCAGTACTCGACTTGTATCTTGTTTCGAGTAAAAAAAAAATATGGTCGGACGAATATGTACAATATGCATTCACTTGTATAACTGAAGATAATGCGAATCGGCGTTCTAACTGCATGATTTGCAATGCCAAGTTGAAGTACTCTAATGTAGCACCGGCAAAACTAAGAAAACACATCCTAAAGCTGCACTGAGACTGAAAAATACAAGACTACAGCGCTTTCTGAATTTAAGGTGAAGCTGCGCATTTCTGAACTGGTATCTGAAAGGCAAAAGCAGACGTCACTGATTTGCAGTAAATATTTTAGTTCTGTGTGAAAATTATATTTTGCCTCATAAGAACTGTTCTGAATGTGCACATGAAGCTGGTGGGGTCTGGTACCTCCAAAAAGGTTAAGAACCACTGGCATACACAGTAAAAAAAAATTCCCAATGTTTTGTTAGTGGAATGTAAAATTCTTTATTATAATCATAGGTAATAAAATGAACAAAATACACCTTGGATATAACACTTGTCATTCAGCACAAAATTTCATGAATGTTTGTCATTAGTAGTAGTATCAACATATATAAAATTTAAGGTCCATAAATTATTCAGAAGAGCTTTGATTGTATTACAAGTTATAAAAGAAAAAAAAAACAGAACACATTTGAAAAACATTGACAAAAAAGACATTTTTAAGCAAATAAATTATCAGTCCATTGCAGTGTGTGGTGGGATATCATTGAAAAAAATAGATGATGAAGTTAAATTATATTCTATTTCAAAATACTTCAATTTCTATGATTGAGAGTTTTTCAAACCCAATGTACATTTAAAACTTGTCATTACTACTTCATTGCTTCATTTTGACAATCGGTCACAAATTTGAAATTTTTACATCAAATAAAGCTGATTTTTAAAATTAACTAAAAATGGCATACTCATTCTCAAATCGTAATGCTTGCATTTGTTTTTCTTATATTTCAAAAAAAAAATTACTTCCTCAGTTTTGAAAAAAATTTTAACAGACTCAGAAATAAAACACTAAAATAAATCTGAAATTTTAGTCAAACTATATTTTGTTAATTATTCTTGATAGATAGTTTTATCATTGAAGTTTATGATATTGAAGGTAATGTAGAGAAAAGAAAAATTCAAAATAAAAGCACACTGCAAAAATTGATACAAAATTATTTTTTTTTACAAAAAGTCAATATGAACACAAAAGAATGTTGTCATAGAATTTATCACAAACTTCAATTTTTAAAAATTGTATTGTCTTTCAAATGGATACAAAATAAATGATATTTATATACCAAAAATAAAGATTTTTTAATCTGGTCATGAAAAGGTCAATATCACTTCACATATATGAGACAGTGGAACACATTACAATAGTCATAATTTATTTGTTGAATAATATTCTTATTTTAGTATTTTAAATGTTAATTACAATGTTCATTTTGTTTTATATTAAGACTAGGTTTTGTATGGAGTGATAATTATAAATAACAAGTATCTGCGTTTATTTACACTCAAGCTTTAAATTTTAGCTATGAAACAAACATGTTTATTTTTTTTTAAAGTAGTTACCCTTCTTATCAATACACTTCTTCTAAATAAATAAAATCTTTGAATTCTAAAATAAGTTAACTTTAAAAAAAGAATAACACTAACTTTAAATGCTCAATTGAAAAAGAAGTAGTGATTCTTCTAATTATTGTGCTACTATAAATAAAAGGAACAAAAAATATTATACTTGACAAAAAAATGTGCATGAACTAAAATAAATTCTCATACCACTGGCTTTAAAAGTTCTACAATCCCATGAAACAGTTCAACAAAGTCAATTTTGTTAATGAACTTGATTATCAATGTCAGAGTAATAATAAAAAAAGATTAGTTAACTACTTTTTTTAAATTAATGGTTAAATAAATGTATACTGTATAATAATCAGCCATTTTGACACTGAGTTTTCTGATAAAGAAAAATGTGTCACTTGAACAATTTAAATATTCTCACATTAAAAATATGTGAAACCAGCTTCAAGTTTTAAAGGAAAAACAAACATGGCATTTCACAGTTGTTCATAAAAGCAATCTCTAATACATCTTAATAATCAATCTAATTTTGTTTAATTGATACAAATACAACAAAACTATTCCAGTCATACATAAATAGATATATATTGATATGCCAACTGATGAAGAATTGTATATTATATTGTAAGAATAAAAAAAACTGTCACCAGTTTAACTTAAACCATGAACAATTTATTACAATTTTAAATATACATTGCACACATACTGGGAAGAGAAATGTTTTAGCATTAATCAACAGAAATAAACTCTAAACATTTTACAATAGCAGTTTCTAATAAATAGGCTATGGTAAAAATCCTAAAGCTAGCCAGATCAAAAATTATATTTGGAAAATTTTAAAACTAAAATGGAAATTTTGAACATTTAAAAAAAATTTATTGAATTTATGCCTCTAACTACTTATTTAAAATGATAAATATATATAAATAAGAAAAAGTGTACCATTTATTTTTAATGCTATCTTTTAACGTAGGACAGTTTTTCTTAAAAAATAATGTGTTATCTCATTCAATTCAAGAAAAAAAAAATCTATATCAAATAAGATTTATAAACTCCAACAACATAGAGATGTATGTTCCTCTAAAGATCAAATAATACTGAACATCTGTTAGAATGCTCTTTCACTTTAATGATGGCATTCCTGCAGGTTTTTTTTTCATTGCAAACAGCCAAAAAGTAAACAAACAAAAACTATATGACCTAATGAGGGTTAATTATCATAAATTTTGTGGCCGAAATAAACTAATTAACCAATGAGGACGCTGTCTGTAGGCTTCTTTCTTATCCTCATATTCAGCTTGGAGCTGTTTTGATGCCGGACCCCAATCCGAAGATGGATGTAGCGAAGCCTTTATACGCTGCAAAGGAGATTAGAATAGTTCAATAAAATGTAAGATGAAACAGGATTTTTAAAAAAATTATATTCAATTTGATAGTGATATTAGTCTTTTTTTATATTTCGAAGAAATAAGAAAATTAGATAATGGATTTAAATAAACTAAAATAGAAGAAACTTAAAGGATTACTTCTAACAAGTTAATACCCAGTAGAATTAGAAAATGATATTTCTGTGTTTAGGGCATACTTTAAATTACATAGAAGGCACACAACAGTCTAGGCTACATGATTTTATTATAACTCAGAACCATTTAAAAAAAAATAAAACCCGAATATTGGCCAATAAAACATAATATTAAAATCTCTAACCCATCAGCAGAATAACACACTAAAATCTCTAACTACAATTACGTGCAATGTAATACAGTAAAATAAAAATCTCCAATTCAAATGTTGGCAAAATAAAACTTCAATAAAATTTTAATCCTAAAACATAGTGTAACCCCAAAATAAAAAATAAACTTGCAGCTGATTTGCGTAGGGTATGTATTGACTAAGTCTAAAACATGATCCTGCCACTTACTTGTAAAAGCGATCCGTTTTGATTGTAGATAACATAGACCATACCAACAGGTATTGGGATGAGGGGTATCATAGAAATGAAGAAGCCAATCACATTGGCATGCAATGGGAAGATGTAGCCATCATACACAGGTAAACTATACTTGGCACAGGTGAAGATAAAGGCAGCCTGGAAGTAAACATTCAAGGTAAGTTGTCAACACTCCGTGTCGCTAAACTGGACACAAAGACATACATACAAGGAGAGGTAACTTAACAACACACCTGGCTGTAGACTACCACAAAGACATTCATACAAGGGGAGGTAACTATCAATAATAATAATGAATCAAACTCAATCACTTAATCAACCTTATCCACTGGAAACTTTTTAACCTTAAACCTATCCCTAAAGAATTGAAGTATCTTAATCAAAAGATGTACAAACATTACCAGTTAATAAGAACTCAATTAAAACTTTAAACACAAAGCTACTTTTTTTTCTACATGATTGAGTAAATTTTTTCATTTTTTGTAATATTTTCATAAAAACAAATTGTTTTAAAATTTTAAACACTGAATATGGCCAGGGGGAACAAAGCATGGATCAGGGGAGTTAATTATGGACACAGGGAATTTCCTTACAAGCATGACAACAGGGGTGATGAAAGTCCAACAAAGTTTGATAAAAAGTCCAGGTCTTTTTCCAAGCATCATCTCAATATCATCACAGAACCTATCAACACCTGGAAAAAAAATTTCTAAGTTTTACATTTAATATATTTAAATTTAGAAATAGTTAAATATTAAGATTTTAAATCTGATTCGTGGGAAAATTACAATTTACCACTAGCTAAAAGTTAAAAAAAATATTTTTTATCAGCAGCTTGCTACAAAGTAAACAGTTTTAAAATACGAGCCTAACAAAAATTATTAAATGTAACAAACAAAAACTCAATATTGTCTGCCCTCGAGCAGATGAGGCTCATTAGCTGGGGACAGCCATTAGGAGAGACAACTCCAAAATAAAAAAAACTGCTGCTTTGTAGCTTGTTCTTGGTTAGACAAAGGCTATGGAAGCAAATCCAAAAAGAAAAGCATGCTGAAATCGGAGTCAATGGCCTCAATGGTGCATAACCAGTTGACATGTATACTTAGTTGTGTTGGAGGCGTGTTCGAGTCGGCAAAGCTCATGTTTGTTGAATTAAAAAAAGTCTCGAGTTCAAACCCTCTGGCAGATAAGGCTCGATTCCTTCCAACACTAAAAAATAAGAACGAAGAAGAAGAATATTGTCATGATTAAAATTTGACTTACCATAGACCCAGGCAACAACAACACATTCAATCAGGGAAGTTATCATCACACAAAAAGCTGCGACAAACCAATCCAGAAGAGTGAACACATATATACCACCCTAAGAAAAAAATGGTACACATCAATTAATAATTTAATACCTCTAGTAAAGGAACATTTTGATATAACGTCCATGTTTTAAACTTGCGTACATAATCTGATAAAAGTGGCTTATAAAATCTCGTAATAAAACTAAAAATCCAATTTTTTACTAGAACTTTCATTATACACTATAAAATTATTGATTTATAAACTGCTAAATAAAATAAATAAATAAATTGTGCACGTTTAAAACAATATTTAATCTTCTGTGGATAATGTGACAAAACTGGTAAACAAATGATGATAACACTGCAAAAAAGCAATTTTTTACAAGAATTATCATATTTCTATGAATGTATAGATTGATAAATTGGTAAGTTTGATCAACAAATTGTCCATGTTTAAAATTCGATTTAATTTTGCAATTATAATCTGACAAAACTGTTGAACAAACGATGATAAATCTAATTTTTTAAAGCAATATTATCAACATTTCTATAAATGAATTGACACATTTAATCTTACCTGGGATGCTATCGGCAATGAGACACAGTAGCTTATCAAGGCTAGACCAAAGGTGAGCCACATGCGTTTTTTACGCAACTGTTTTGGAAATGCATCTATGAGACCAGCCACAACAGTTTCAAACATCCCAAACTGTTATTTTTTAATTGATGGAAAAGAAAACAATAAAAATAATCAGTACAAAGTAAAGGAAGAGTAATCATCAGACTGATCCCACACTATAATTAGGTACAGTTGTTGATATGCACAGTACTTTAGCTAAAATAATTTTTTATAAAGCACTTTTTGCTGTAATAAAGTGCAATGATAAATTTAACTGTTTTAATAGTATGCTTCTCACAAAGACATGGATACAAGAAGAGGTAATTGCTTTTGTTACACACAGTACTAAAGCTAAAATAATTTTTAATATAAGAATATAGGTACATGAATCTTTTTCATAGTAGACATACATACAAGGAAAGGTAACTAAATAACAAACCTGACTGTAGGTACACAAAGACATACATACAAGGGGAGGTAACTAAATAACAAACCTGACTATCCAAGCCTAGTGAGAGGAGCATGATAAAAAACAGTACAGCCCAAAGCTGAGGCACTGGCAACTTGGAGATGGCCTCAGGGTAAGCCACTAAAGCCAGGCCAGGACCTGCAGATGCAAACAGTACCTGGCATTAAACATCAGTGACTGAAACCTGTGATTTGTTTGGATCTACAAGTATTGTGTGTATAGAGATTTCATCTACATGTCATTGTGTACACAGTTTAAGGGTCATCCGTAAATACCATTAAACACTCAACTGGGAGTGAGGTTTCAGAACTTTCTAAAAATGAGCCTTTTTTGAACTAAAGAAATAGGTCATAGCATGTTTTGTATACTTTCAATAACAAAAAAAAAAGATTTTTAAGTGTCAACATTAAAATTGTGTCAAGTTTTGTGATATAGTGGATATCTGATACTGGCAATTAGTAATATGGATTGAGGGTAAAAGTCTGCTAAAACTGGGTAAAATCTATTATGAACACCTTAGATCTATCAACTAATGTGGAAAGAATTTAGATGTACAACTATCAACTAATGTCTGTATAGATAACAAAAAATTGTGTGAATAGATTAATGTACCTTGTGTGGCTACATCTGTGACACTGACATTGGCCTCTTTAGCCATGAAGCCAACCACAGCAAATATAACAAAACCACCATAAAAGCTGGTCAACCCATCAGCTAATGACGCAATCATCACATCTCTACAACACAAAATAGTTGTAACAGAATTTCATTCAGTGTTTTCATAACAATCAATACTATAAACTGCTCAGATATTTGATGGTTTGGTTTGTAAGGTAACTGACTAATGCTTAAAAAATATCAAGAGTAGTTTGGTGAATTTTTATCAATGTGCTAAAGTTAAATACTTCAACATTCCACTAAAGCCTAAATAAGTTTTTAAATTTCCTCTTCTGTGGTAACAAAAAATAAATTCTTTTAAACTTTTCTTGCTTGGATCCTAGTCTTGGGTCAATAGGATGTACATGAGTCCACCCAGCTCTAAAGAGTACCTGACTCAGGCTAGGTAAAGTAGAGGAGGCTGTACATGGTGCTGACTACACCACCCCCACCCCCCTCCCTGATGACACTATCCCTTCATATGCTGAGGTCACAGAGACAGGGTGAACTCTATTTCATCTGCCTCATGGATCTCCAGGTTCAAAAAGGTCAAGGGTCACTTTTTAAGTTCAATATAATTCATATTAGGTCACATGCTCATTATAAGAGAAAAACCTAACAGTATTTAAAAATTATATTTCAAGATTACTTCTCGCATTCTTTTCTATTGTCACGTAAAAGATTTATCATTAAATTAGGCATTCCAGATTTTTAGAAAAATTTGGCCATGTTTCTAAACTGCTAGAATTCGCACATGTTATCAATAAAGAAATCTACCTAAAACAATTATTATTGAACTTGTTGAAGCTGGCCATGGTGATCAGCCCTCCCCAGGCTGGACCAAGCGAATAAAAAACTTGAACGCACGCTTCCACCCACACCTGTTGAATGTCAGAAATGTAAGAAAATTTGTAATTTCTATGTACAACAAGAACCCTTATTATATCATAAATATCTTTTTTTTTAAATATCTTGGTTAAATTGACAGGGAAAAAAAATGTTGGTTACAACTTGATAAAAAATATATTTATACAAAGATAATGCTTGTACATGGTCAAGCAGGAAGAAAAAATGAATGAGCTGCTGCACTTACATTAAAGCTCAGGAGCTTCTCAAAGTCAGGTTTGATGTAAAACAGGATTCCATCAATAGCTCCAGGTAACATACATCCACGAATAAGAAAAATGGTCAAGAGAGCGTACGGCAGAAGAGCTGTCACATAAACAACCTGATCAAAAATATTAATAGATATGTCCTTAAATACGTAGAGATAGAGATCTATATATTTTTCAAATATTCAAATTAATACATTTTTTTAAATAGTAATTTGCAATTATTTTCTAATCTTATAACTGTTTCTTAGCCACTTGAGATATTTATCTGTCCCCAATCAAGCTCTCCTTAAAAATATATATTTCTGGTATAACAAAGCATTTCAAATTTCTATAGAATAACTTCCTCTGGTCAAAACATTCACCAACTTTATGCTATAATTTAACTCCTCTGTTTCACCACTACGCCCAAATATTTAACCCCCATTTTAATGGGGAGAAACAATTTTTTAAATAAAAATTTAATTCCCTTGGTTGAGCTGAGTTACCTACCTTGCCCAAAGATTTCACTCCCTTGATGAGACACAGACAGACTAGAATCCATGCAGCTAGCAGGCACATGGCACTGTGTACCTGCAGGTCACCCAGATCTTCCAGGCCAGGTGATTTTCTCAACACATTAAACCTGAGGTGAAATTCAGCAAAGTTTTATTTATGAAAGAAAAAATGTCTAGCATAGTGCTTTTGTGGTTTTTTTCTAAGAAGCTGATATTAGAGACAGACTGATGACAGACAGACTGACAACAGGCAGAGGAACCAATTTAATGTTAATTAACAGCTTGCATTGAGAACATCCACTAATCTATAATAATAATAGTTTCACTATTCTGTCTGTCACTCTGTCATTCAGGAACAATATAGAGAAAACACAAGCAAAATAAAAACTTTAACAGTCAAACGGAAAATGAAACATGACATCACATTGAACCAACATTCCCTCTAAGGGGAAAAAGTTCGTGTGCAATGTGTATTTTGTGTGCGTGGTGTACTAAGAGTCTTATACAGTGATACATGTATTTTACAAAATGACTGCGCGGCAGTTGAAAATTACTGCGCGGCCGCGCAACTTAGAGGGAACATAGCATGGATCATATATGAAATATTCTAAGCCGGAAAAGTAGACACAATAAAATAACGTCATTAATTCTTGAGTAAAAGAAATACAATTTATATAGAAAATATATACTTTTACCATTGTCACTTGGGTTACCAGTCTAGCTCTCTACCACTAGGCCATGACGTCCCATGTGTACATATATATACACATATATATATATATATATATATATATATATATATATATATATATATATATATATATATATATATATAAAAATTTATTTATTTATTTATTTATTTATTTATTTCACATAATCAATTATGGGATTTGAAGCACAGATTGTAGAAGTTTGGTCTCAAACCTAAATTCAACTTGAAGTCCTAATTTTACAGTAACACTGTTGAATTATTTAAGCAATTCAAACTACATGCCTGGATTATTTTAAATATTTAACATATTTTTCTTCTAATCAATATTAATCTCATATACTTTATCACCTAGAATTCTATACAGAATATTTTTTCTATTAATAAGTAGAATTAATCGCTGCTTAGTAGGTTTGTCTAAATTTGGATGCTAATTAACTACACAAAATACATGTCATATGGTATGCTGGTAAATTAATGAATACCCTGATGTGTTATTATGGGAAAGAATGTGCTTATAACCTCTGCATGTCTCTGACAGGGGATTACTTACAGGATGTATTTATGTTGCAAGGACATTGTGAGTATAGGATCTTAACAGTGTAGTCGGTGTGCTCTATATATAGCATTGTCAAATACAGTTAGGACTGCAAGATGGCATTTTCTCATAAACACACAAGGAATACAAATCTACTAGCTTTAATTAATCCTTAACCGAATGAGAAAAGTGTATTTTGCAATTTTTTCCCCCTTGGTTTCACCCCCCCCCTTAATGGTGTCACCCCTTGCAACGCCCCCCCCCCCCCCCCCCTTTTCACCCACACACATGCAATGCTACTGACAAGTTTTAATAAAAACTTAGAAAAAAAATAATGTCACTTGGATCAGAATTTATCAAACAAAAAGTGCCTGTCCAAGATCTGGTGTTTCATAGGACAGCTGGAATAGAGAAACTGCTACTGTTTTCATAGCCATGACATATAGACGGAATAGTGTGGTCAAAACATTACTTTCCATAACATTCTCCAATGAAGCGGGGTACTCGCTTTGGCTGAATAAGCTCCAGACTATTTAATTTTTTTTAAAATTTTGACCTTACCAGTATTTTGATCCCAAAATGCTTCAACTAGAGGCCATTCACTCTACCACCCAATCATCCCACACTATATTATAATTAAATCCCTAATTAAGCATGCATTGCATAAGCAGGCTTCAATTGTTTACCATTGCTAATTAAAATAAACAAAGGGGAGTCACAAGGATAACTTACTGCCAGAACTCCTCAGCAGCTGTCCTATATTTGACATCACAGTGACCTCCCCTGCAAGCCTGGCTGTAGTTAGCATTCAGAGACTCATTTGTGCTCAGTGAGAAGTTCAGCTGATGGGACAAGTTCAGATGGCGGGAGCTGTTGAGGTCAGGACGGTCACCCCCGTGGTCGATGCACAGATCAGTGTTCCACCAGTGGCCGCAGTGCGCCCAAGGCAGCTTGGGGTAGAAGCTATTGATCAAGTAATAAATTACCCAGGAGAGCACAGCGTTATAATATATACAAGCCATTCCGGATACAATCACCATCCCATATCCAATACCTGGGGGAAAAAATAAGAGAAAAATTAATACAATTTATTTTTACTATGTATTTAATAAAAAGTCCATTAATTACTTAAATAGCAAAGACTAATTTATATATAAATATAAATATAAATATATATATATATATATATATATATATATATATATATATATATATATATATATATATATATATATATATATATATATATATTATATATATATCCACTTTATGGCCTGGACTGGACACCTCCAGGCTAGCAGCCAAATGCTCTACCATTTGACCACAGCATCCCACTTTGGGGCATCAAGTTTCTGTAGTTAGTTTATTTCTCAAAAAGAGAGTGGCCAATTTTTTATTTTTTTAACAAAAGAGCACACAAGAATATTAAAAACCCAAGTCTTAACATGTTATAACTAATTGGTGATTAACTCCCTAACAGTTTTGCATATTAAGATCTCCACTACAACAACTGCCAAAAATCCAATTCACACGTATTTTAATAAGTTAACTTGGCTTACAGCAGAGTTCATTGGATATTGTGACCACCCTTTAGGCACATTTGGTCTAAATTTTACACTGTAAGTAAATTTTGAATTTTAAGGGAGAGATAAAAGGTGAAGATAGGGAGTGAGGGTAACTGACTGAGTTAAAAATGTAGTTACCATTACAAGGGAGAGAATGTAAAAGTTACCTTTAAACAAGGGACATAACTTCCATACAAACATTGAACTGATCCCAGAGAACTGACCCAAGCAGACCTCCAGGTAAAACAATGGGATACCACACATGGTCAAGAAAAAGAAAAATGGGATGAGAAATGCACCTGAAATTAAAAAAAAAACAAGGTACAATTTAAAATATTGATGAACTGTGAAAGGAAAAGGACATTAATAACCAAAAGATAATTGATTGCATATCATGCAAAGTGATGACTATGACCTGTACATAATTTTCCACCTCTGTTAAAATATATTTAAAGAATTAATTTTATAAAAAGACTGAAATCATTCTTGATACTATTTTTAATAAATGTATCCCCATCTCCCATAACCCCCCTCCCCCTCCACATTAACTTTCATAGTACAAGGTAATATCTACAAGTGATGGAAACCATACCCCCCCCCCCCACCTACTCCCCTGCCAAGGAACTTACAGAGAGAAACACCTGTGATGTGGGACTCACCTCCACCATTTCTGAGAGTGAGGTACGGAAACCTCCACAGGTTACTCACACCCACAGCGTAGCCAATCAAGGACAGCACAAAGTCAAGACCCCTGGTCCATTGTTCCCTTTCCTCTTCCACTTCCACTTTTTTATGTTTACCATTCACCAGCTTGACCTCTGAATCATCCTCTTTCTTTCCATTGCAGTCAGTTGGGATGAAAACTGTCAGTTCATCATTAGGCTCCAGGTCCTGTGAATAGGAAGTGCACTACATTAGATGAAAAACATTTTCAAAAGCCTAATTATTTTTACAAAACTCAGTCATATAATTTTATATTAATATAGCAATACAATATATTAACTTTTAAAACATAAACTGTTATAACACTTTATATTTGGCCACAATCAATTACTATTTTAAAAACTGTAACTCGCATCAAAAATATTTTTTTTATTTTTTTTTTATTTTCATGAAGTACCATCAAGAAATATCTTTTTAAATCAATGGTATTATGGTATTACTTCAATGCCTAACAAGACAAATCCATTATTTCTAAAGACAAGAACCAAAACCAAAGCTTCACAGTGACAATGAATGACATCATCTTTTAGGGACAACCATTAATGACATCATGCTATTTTAGCTCATTTTACCCCCACGCCCTTGCATCACAAAAAGCCAGATTCTCTCCACATAAAATGACAAATAAATAATTACAAACTATATACATTATAATATTTACCTATACACATTCTACAATTGATGAATGAAACCTTTTAACACTATGACACCCAATCATTCAAAAATTATACAACACCAGGTGGTGCTTATAAAACTCAACCAAACTATTTTAACACATTCAACTCATTTACTCACTGGCAAACTAAAAAGTGAGATGGTAAAATTCCATCTTCTATTTCAAGTTTTTAAATACTAGGGAGTCACTAAACCAGGGTATACTCAGACCTCTCAATTCAAGATAAAACAAAACAAATAAATCTCACAGCCTTTACAATAACAGAATATGCTAATCCATCAATAAGTAAAACAAGAGAAATAAACAATTTTTTATAACTCAGATGTTCATGTCAGTTACTTTAAATTGTGGCAAGGAAAAGTTAAAACACTCTAGAAAAACACAATAGAAACTGTGAACAAAAGGAGATTTTACAGGTCAATGAACTTTCTTTAGATGAATTTTTATCTATAATATCGTTAAATTTAAGACTAAGTTTTGAGTCATTTTTAGGGTCACAATTAATTTGGTAGGATTGGGCAAGCAAAAAGAACTGATAAAGTCCTTCACAGAAGTAAAAAACCTAAAAAAAAAAAACAATTATTGACAAGTTGTCTCACCACATTGGTTCTCTCCATCCTTTTTTTTAAACGAGCGTGTCCAGTCACACCCACACTTTTGATTGGCTAGTCTAGTCACACCCACACATTTGATGTTTTACAATACAAGGCATTATTTCTGTCTTTTAGCTTTCATGATTCTCCTGTAAACAAAATGTGTAGGGTAAAATTTAAAAAAACAAAAAAACAAATAAAAAACATTATCTTGTCCTCTAAAGAAAACAAAAGGTAATTACATGCAGCATAACATAACAAAGAAGAGACAAGAGTAACAGATGTTTAATTAACTTATTATTTTAAATCATGCAAACTCTGAAACATACTGGTAGTAATTAAACATTAACATTCTCTACACCTGTTCTATCAGAGATTATGAAAATAGAATAAAAACAGGGTAAACTAAAAGATACAAATATGTTTAAGAAATTCTTAAAGTGTAGAGAAACATTTCAGGGTATTTAGAAGAACATGATCAGAAATGATACAGTTACTATTTACAGCACAGAAAGGGAAAAAAATAGGGCATCGTTTTATTCTTATCTAATCTATGGAATACCAGGCAAAAAAAAAACGATTATTATAAAAATTCCAGGAGAAAAATGTAGTATCCTATCAAGGTCTTTTTCTGAAGTCAGATTAAATATACAAACAAAAAAAAAACTAGCCTTCAGTATGCCATTTCTATGTTTTTAGAACAATAAAACTCTACAATAGTTGTTGTATTTCAGCTAAATACATTAAGTCTTAAAATTATTGTATTAGATTCTAACAAATAAGAAAATCTGTTAAGAATTTACCATGTAGAAGTACATTTTATGAATGAGAAGGGTCACTTTAGATAGTGTAATGTAGGGGAATTCCACTATGTAACCTATAATTTATTTTATGCTGTGAAGAGCGAAAATGATGAAAAGCTTATTGATTTATGTTAGAATCAAGGATATGATGGACGGAATTTTCTTATTTTGTGGATCATTTTAAGGGGGGGGGGGGGGGGGGGGGGGGGTCTGGGGGTTGGGGGGTTGGGGTCTGGCTGGGTCTTGTAACAACATTAATAGTGAACCGCACTTTTTCTCAGCCACAAATTCAGAATGAAATCACTAGCAGCACTATTAAAGATATCAGTCCTGGGCCTTTGGATGTGCAAAATCCCACCAGTTTGGTATGTGTATTCACCATACCCTTCTTAATAGTTCTATTGTCCACAATAACAAAATCCTATCTTGAATCATATGTTTCTTGACCTCCACAAAACCCCTGAGAATGACTCACATAATCAATGATAATCCTTGGGGTTTGATCAAACCCAGGTTAAAAACCACTGCCCTAAAGGTATGATTTATCATTGGATATGGAGATAGAGTTATAAATTGATATAATGCATATGATAATGCAGGGGTGCCACTCATTTTTTAAGTGAATCCTGAAAATGAATCCCAAAATTTTACCAATCCTGAAACTAAAATTTGAAATTTTTGAAACCCTGAAACTTAATTCCGCGCGGAATTTCAAAATAAAATGGACTATTATTTCATTATTTTTTGAGATATTTGATTCATGTTATGTTCAATTTACATTCCTTTAAAATGGATTTATTTTCTTTGTAACAAGCTTCAAATAAAAGTTAATCTTTAAAGGATTGTGCTTACAACAAAATTAGTTTACAATGTTAGTCCCATCTCTAGGCTTACCCCATAATGTGCTATTGTAGAACCCCCCCCCCCCCCCCCCCATCCCGGGCTTTTATAACAACTATTTAATTTTTTAGAACTTCCTAGCTTGAGTTAAATTGTGTAGTCAGCCAACTGTTAAGTAACAAATATTTTGCTAACCTCTATGTCTTGTTATTGAATAATAAGCCCACTATATGCAGACCCCTAATAAGATTGTCACTGTATTAAAATACAGGGTTGACTTACTGTAGCTATTCAAGGCTTTAATTATTAACAGCCAAAACAAAAACCTATAGCCCTGCTTTCCCAATCAACACCAATGGGGTCATCCATAAATGATGTCACGCTTTTTTGACGATTTTTACCTCCCACCTCCCCTCGGTCACATATCGTCACAAAAAGCCAGACCACGCTCTCTAAAATGACGTCACACCTCAGCCTACACCCCCCCCCCCCCCCCCTAAAAATTGCAGTCGAATTTTTCTTAAAATACGATATTTTTCCAAAAATCTTGTCTGAGCTCTGTCAACATAGAGTATTTTAATCAATTCCTATTACACTTTATTGAAACAATATTCTAAAACGCGAAATAACGGCTAAAATTCGTTTTCTAACATAGCTTTTGGTTAATGCAAAAGTGTGATGTCACACCATCCGAACCCCCCCCCCTCATGACAAAATTACGGACCCCCCTCCCCCTACGAGTGTGACGTCATTTATGAACGACCCCAATGCCCCCACCTTTGATATACATGATCGTGAAATATCGTGGAAGTTCATATCGCGGAATAACAGAATTAAGTTAATTTTTAAAATAATTTTAGAAGTAACTACGCTAGTAATACTCTTGTCAGAGATGTAGCCGCCCGACTAAGGGGTCATCCATAAATGACGTCACACTCGTAGGGGGGAGGGGGGGTCCGTAATTTTGTGACGATGTGTGATGAGGGGGAGGGGGGGGTTCAGACGTTGCTACGTCACACTTTTGCATTATAAAAAAGCAATGTTAGAAAACGAATTTTAGACGTTATTTCGTGTTTTAGATAACTGTTTTAATAAATTGTAATAGTTTAGACAAGATTTTGGAAAAATATCGATGTTTAAAAAAAAATCATCTGCAATTTTGAGGGGGGGGGGGGGTTGTAGGTTGAGGTGTGACGTCATTTTGGGGGGGGGGGGGTCTGACTTTTTGTGACAACGTGTGACGGAGGGGAGGGGGGGGGGAGGTAAAAATCGTCAAAAAAGCGTGACGTCAGATGACCCCTAAGTGAAAAGCGGATTTTTTAAAAAAGCGGTTGGGAGGGGGCAGTGATAGCGGCTATTTTCTCAGACACGGTACTTCAAGGTTTTTTAAACATTTCAATGACGTTTTACCAAAGTAAAAAAAAAACCAATTAGATGTAGACCCTGCTAGATTGTGTAACTAAAAGAAGGCCCTTATTTAAAAAAATAACCACGTTAAAATTAAACAGCGCTTGTACTTGTAGAACTGCCTTGACCGAGAGACACGACTCAGACTGTGCTTGCCTGGTCTCGTGACGTAGGTCTTACGGTCAGCGCGACCTTGAAGAAGCGGATAAGAGGTGGTAAAAAGTGACGGTAAAGTTGAGTGAAAACAGCACAGGTCTATTTCATACATAAAATAGTCCTTCAAATAGTTTTTTTCTTTTCTTTTGGTAATACCAAATACAAAAAAAAAAAAAAAATTGATCGGAGCAAAATCTTTCGGTTGTTTTTTTTTAAAGTCGATCGGCGATGCTAGTGAGCTAGATCTAGTAATTGTAGGATTTTTATTACACAGCCTAGCGGTATCCCATTGATGACATCACGTAACTAATGCGAGTTTTACCCCTAACCCATATCGTCATAAATAGCCAGACAACCACACCACGAATGACATCAAAAAGTTTCGTCTACAGCCTCACCCATCTGATACAGCCCATTTGTATTTGGTCCTTGGCGCACGCGTGAGATTGTTGCTGACGTCATTTACTATTCTTTTTTTTCGGAAAAGGCCATTAGCGGGGGTGTTGACGATAAAAACGATTTTTACAATGCCAAAATGTTCAAGCTTAAAACGATCTAAATTTTTTTTTAAACTGCAAACCCGGAAATTTTCAAACTCAAATCTTGCGAATCCGGAAAGGGAAAAAAATATGATTCTCGAATCCGGAAATCCGGGATAACCCGGAAAAGTGGCACCCCTGGATAATGTTTCAAAAATGTATACATGGTATTATTAAATACAAGCCGACCCGCAGCGTATCATACGCCGCTATTTAGTTGTTTTATTTTCTACTTTTCAGTAATTCATAATTTGTGAATTCGACAGTACCAATGCTGCCACTGAAAATATTTGCTTTAAAACACTAACCCCCCCCCCCTTTTCCCCAAACCCCGATCCTACACCCCCCCCCCCACCCCCCATGAAAGCAGCCTCCTCTTAGTTATTTCTTAGTTACCTCCTGTAAGTTTAAAATCGAACTAAATTATCTGCCCCTAATAGAAACCCGACTCTACGGCTCTACGATTTGTAAACATTTAGCTTTGTAAACATTTAGCGTGACCACAGCTCACGCCAGACAATGTGGGGGTGGGGTGGGGGTGGTAGTGATAGTGATAGAGAGAAAGAGAAAGAGAGGGGACTGCAAGGAGGCGCTTGCAGCTTGTTTTCTAACGGCTCCCAGAAGAGAATTATTTATATATAGATATATGTTATTATATAATATGTATTGTATATCTAATCATAATCTAAAAGTTTGAAACCTGTTTAATCTAAAACTAAACAACCATTAAAAAAAAAATTCTGGTTAAAATTGGAGTTAATTTATATTTAAGTTCCAACACTTAAAATTAAATAAGCTCTATAAAATGAAAAATTACATGTACCTTTTCACAACTTCTAAAGAATTACATTTGGGGGCTTACTTATTTAAAGTTGCTTGATGAGCCACGACAATGGTATTGAACATTAAGATTGAAAACAAATTAAGTTAAGATTAATGGTAGTGGGACAGTATAACTCTCACATTATTTCCTTACTTAAGTGGACTTTCTTAGACTACTCTTAGTATCTAAGACTAATAAAAATATTTATAGCCTAATACTAATTTTTAATTTTGTTTTGTGTGCTTAGTTTCAATCAAGAAAGAATCAAAAGAAATTTAAAATTAAAAGTAACTTTACATTTCGGCATTTAGAGATATTTTTCATACTTTTGACTTTCCACTCAAAATGATAAAAATAAATTACCAAAAGTTCTTATGTTCTAATTTTAGTTCCAAAAAAAAATACTTATATTAGTTAGGCCTAGTTATTACACAATACTGTAACTAATGAATCTGGATCTATACTATAAGACAGGGGTCTCCAAACTAAGGCCCGCGGGCCGGATGCGGATATCTTTTTGTCCACGGAAAAAAATGTTTGTTGGTGATGGCTGAGGAACTTTGCCCAGAGAAAAGAAAGACATGCCTGGGAGAAACTGGCCCCCGAACTGAAAATTGATAGTTAATGCGGCCCTCGGACTGAAAAGTTTGGAGAACCCTGCAGAGTATAAGACATAAGTTATAGGCCATAACTTTTGTTATTACTAACTTATTAGTGAACTAGACTTTACTTACTAGACTAAAACTAGACTAGTAGACTACATCTCTAAATTAAAAATTAAGTTTATTAGGCTAAATTGGGGCTAAATAGATCTAAAAACTGATACTACTAGATCTAGATCTAGTACTAGTCAACTATTGAACTAATCTGGCAATCTCTGACCAGCAATGGTCTGAGTCTGTTTGTCTAGCATCGATTAGTTAGATCTAGGTCTAGAGTCTAGATTCTAGATCTAATCTAAATAAAAATGTTAATGTTTCAAAATACTTGAAAATAGTTTGTGTAGAAAACACTACTTGCCCAAACAAAGACAAGTTATAACCTTGCATGTCCACAAGGATTTGACTGATTAATAATTTTGTAGTAAATTAAGTTCAAAGTCCATGTTTCTACGTTTCTTTCATGTAAAATGTCTCTGAATCTCTTATCTCAAAATACAAAAATATGCAACTTTTCTTTTGTCAACAAGTTCAGTAGTCAACAAGACGAGCCTCCCATTTCATTACTAATTTACTCCCAAATTAATTAACTCTACAATACTTACTACAGCATCATAATACTTTAAATATCATGAATATCCACTTATAAATTTTCCAAATAGCTTTTCTGTCTCCTTATATCCGTTTTGAGTTTTGGTTTTTCTTGAGTGCAGGAACTTTCGCCGACGGTCTATCACTAACATAAACAAAATGGATTATTTTTTAAAATGTAATGGAGTAGCTTCCCCTTAATTTTTTACTTAAATTGTGGAAGAAACTTCGGCTCTATTAGTTGTAGACATTGACACAAAATATCTATCATTTTAGATAGTTTTTTTTTTTTTTTCAGAATTTTCGCCAACTCTTTTCACTAAATTAAAAAAAAATCAAAACAAAAATTAATTTTCTTTAATTTAGAATAATTTATTTTCCATCTAGGTCCCTATATAAATAAATGCAATAAATAAGAGGTTTATAAGTTTATAGAAATATCGTCAATGGCCTTTTTGATAACGTGTAGGCCTATTATGTAGGCCCTAATAATAATATAAAACGGTCCACTCACCTAGTTTTTGTTTTGGAGACAATTGATCGTTAGCCAACCATGTGGACGATTGAATGTGTATAGGCCTAAGTCGTTTGCTTAAAAGCTACACGGGTCACGTGGTATGCTACGGACAAAGTTCAGATTACGAGTTGTCTTCAGTTCATCTATCAATCCAACGTGGTTGAGACAGTAGGCCTATTTGAGGAATTAGTCATTGTGAACTTGGACCTTAGACACCGCTTCATTTCCTTTTTTCCAACTTCTAAAAATACTCTTATATTTGATTGTTCGTTTATAAACTTAAGGCTATTGTTGATATAAAGTTAGTAACTAGTCTTATAATATAGCCTATTCTTACAAGGTGCATCGCGCTTAAATATAGAGCACATAAACACAGATAAGAAGTAACTGATTACGTCAGAAAACAAGAGGATTTAATATTCACAGACGTGTATAAAATTGTGCGCTAATAATAAAACCGGCGCTAATAACGTGAAGCTGCTTTACACATTCTTCTTACCGTGAGTACTCATGCACGCACGCGCTGTTACGTAGTAGCCTTGGCAGGTGCATTGCCGAACTTCCAGGTCAGTGCCGTGAACATGTCTGATGCGGCTCGTTGGGTGCGGCGCCTTTTTGTTTAAAAAAATAAATGTTTACTATTTATAGACGCGATTTGGAGGGGGTGGGTAGGTTAGTGTGTAGACATACGCTAGATATTACATTGTTTTAATAAAGTAGTATGCAATTTATTATATTAGTAGTAAAATACAATCCCAAACCAGTGTTTCAGGCATCTCAACGACCCCCACCTAATGAAATAGATTTTATACCAGTGTCCGCCCCCCCCCCCCTCCCCTGGAAAATTTAGTCCGCCCTCCGAAAGTTTCAAGTGCCCCCCCCCCTCCTCTCCCGCCCCGAAGAAAAATAGTCTAAAAGAAACATTGCACCAACTTAAGCTTAAACTCCCCAAAGAAGCAGAATATTTGTTAGGAAAATATGCCCTAATGTATATTCGCTCATAAAAAGTTAGCCGACCGCAGGGGTTAAATATAATTTATAAAGCAGCTGTCTATTGTAGGCTAAGTTATAAGCCCCCACCACCCAAGGAGCCATCACACCCTTGACCTGAATTTGTATGCAATTTTTGTTTCGGGGAAAAAAGTTCCGAATAAAATAGCGGGCTACCTCCTGATGTGAAGAGTTACCCTCTCTAGACCAGTAATCTTCATCGTCGTCTAGCCCATTTGTTGGAGACTGTTTCTCCAAGTACCAACAGCAACAAAAGAACCAGCAGATCGTAGTAAAAGGCCTCTGTGGAAATGGTGGTCCGTATACTGAATAGGCCTGTAGGCCTACACCAAGAGTAAAGTTGTTAATAGAACGTTCGTGCTGACCAGAGTATTTTTAAGATCTTTCATAATTAAAAAAAAATAGAACAAGCTTCATAATTATGCTGTTAACGAAATGAAAATTATTGCAGTCATCAAAGGAGTTTTTTTTTGGCTTCTCTTCGGAAGAGGACTTCTCCGTCCCCCCGTCGTCCCCCCCCCCCCCCCCCACCGAAATTGCCTTTATATATTTTAAAATGTACAAAGTGTATTCCACCCCTCATTAAAATTGAAGTCTGCCCCCCTCCCAATGTTTCAAACGCACTCCCCCCCCCCCCCTCCAACCGGAGAAAAATGTCTGAAATAAACGCTGGTCATTAATTAGTTCGTTTAAAGAAACACAGTTCGACGCGTGACTAAGTCTCGTGCAAAATCTTAGGCCTAATTCTCCGTTGCTTAACCTTAACGGAATAGACAGAAACGTTTGACCTCCTTTTTTTCATATTTTATTACTCTCTCTAAGACAGTAGCGTCACAAGACGGGCCGGAGGGGGGGTGGGGGTGGGGGAGGTGCGGACCGCACCCGGTGACAACATCCAAGGGTGTGATACTTATAGGCATTTATATATATCCCACTTGGATATATATATATATATATATATATATATATATATATATATATATATATATATATATATATATATATATATATATATATATATATATATATATATATATATATATATACTAGCCGTCCCGGCCAGGCCCTGCTCTGGCTTCTGTGAAAAACCTTTCTGTTAAAGACCATTACCTGTGTGTTTAGTAATCATCATAAACCCGGCATTGCCCACCCAAACCACAACCAACCAAAACAACAAAACGCAAACATAACGCTAACACAATTACAAATACAAACGAAAACAAAAACCTAACAACAAACCCAACCACAACCACAAACACCAATACAAACACAAAGAAAAAACAAACAAAAAAGCAAACGAAAACAAAAACCTAACAACAAACCCAACCACAAACACCAATACCAACACAAAAAAAACAACGAAAAAGCAAACGAAAACAAACCAAATCCAAACGCAAAACCAACCAAAAACACAAATACAAACCCAAACAAAAAAACACAAACAAAAACGAAAAAAGAAAGAACAAAAACGAACCAAATCAAAACGCAACCACTAACGCAAACCCACCTAAACACAAAGAAAACACTAACGCGAACATAAACGCCCGGGGCGGAATCACCTGTTTTAGCTTAATGAACGACTATAGTACCCCAACTTATTCACAGTCTTTTGCACTCACTTAAACGAACGCGCCTGTTTCAATTTAATGAACAATTTTAATGCTCCAAGCTTATCCGTAAAATACCTACAACATTTGCACTTGATCAATCCCCGCTAATTATGTAATTATTTTTTTTTCCCAACACCAAAACAAAGTAATAAAAAGTAAATTATTTTCCACTAATGATGACAATGCAATGGTTTTATAAAGGGAAGTAATTGTGTTTTCCTAATTTATCAAAGGGAAGTAAGTGCTATAGGACTAAATAAAGACATAAATAGAATTTTTGTAAAAGATGATATTTTTTTAAAAACTTGTGTTTAATGAACATGCCGACAATTATTACTATAATTTGAAAAATGAAAATTATTTTCCAACACTTTCAATATTAATTTTTTAACTCATAAATTTAGACAAATGCGCACGATGATTGTCTAACACTTAAATCCATCCAAGACCAACGACAAACATATGCTTTACATACAGAACTGAGCTTTATATATTAGATATATATATATATATATATATATATATATATATATATATATATATATATATATATATATATATATATATGCCTATATATATATGCCTATATATATATGCCTATATCCAAGTGTGAGATTTTATATATATATATATATATATATATATATATATATATATATATATATATATATATATATATATATATATATATATACATATATATATATGTAACTAGGGTAAGTTACGACAACAGTGGCCCTGCTGTTTTAGGGGTGGGGACAGCGCGACGCGACGTATCACCTATACCCACGTGTCAACCCGGGCGTGGCCAGAGTGACCATAATTGCTTTGGCCCCCAGAAAGACGATCGCTGACAGCATTGTACTGGACAAGCTGTTAAATTGAACACAAAGACATGCTCGCGGACTACAGGACGGCTGACAGTTTACGACACGATAAACTCTCCGAAACTGACCGGGACGTGACAATAGGCCGGGAATAGCAGGAACAGGTAACCTACGGGGAAGACGACCTGGCACTTTTACAGCTAGGGTATGACCTGACCTTCAGGAACATTCTTAGATTCTAGTGGTAGCGTATATATACGGACTCATCGACACAAGACCGGCCCTTTTAACCAGAAGCTACACGAGAGACGGGAGACTAGACTTTGGTCGTGGTACTAGTTGTAAATCCAGACCAAGATAGAAGGAACCAATACCGACTTGTTTACGGTTTACCGGACTTAGGGACTTTGGAGGTCTGTTGGGTTTTTCGTTTTAGTTTGATGTTATTTGTCAATAAAAGATCGAACCTACCATTGAGTAGAAGACAAAAGTGTTTACTTCATTGGTTACATTTGGCGCTGCGAGCAGTAAAACCCAACAAGACTAGCCTTTAACGGCATCCATTGTTCGCTGAGTCAACTGTCGAGGGCAACCTAGGCCTACCTGACGAGAACACCCTAGGCCTTCCTTACGGAGGCACCCTAGGCCTTCCTGACGAGGGCACCCTGAGCCTACCGGAGGAGCGGACAAGACCGACGGCGAGGTTGTGTTAGGACCCGTGCATGTTGGACGTGCACAAAGTTCACTGTCATCAGTCGTGGAGTATCAACACATGCATACATTGGTGACTGAACTGTACTAGTGGATTGTTTTATTTCCCCAAGATTTAGAAGTTTGAACTTTGTGTGATGACATTCTTGATTCCTGGGACCCAGAGCGAGTTTTTCAATTAATTAACCGTGCCAAATCTAGAACAATTTCGTGGAGTATTAGGACTGTAGCAGAGGTGATTGCATTATTTCTTGGAGTATTTGAACGTTAGACGTGTATTGGTTTACTTTTTCAGGAACAGGAACTTTCAACAGTTATAAGTGACATTTCAGGAGGCAAATGCAAGCAAGTAATTAGTTAATTAGTAATACCAATGTGTGTTATTGTTAGACTGATTAGTACATAGATGTTATTTGTAGCTGCTATGTTAGATTGAAAAAATGGCATATACTTATGTTATGGTTGGAGC